TAGAACCAATCGATTCCATCCACATCATCACATACATGCCGCAATCATATCTGTTACAAAATTTGAAAACCACACATGTCAATTATGATGAATACTGCATAAATTAAGCTTTCTATTTGTGATAACATCTCATACCCATTCAATTGCTTATTCTTCTTATGCTCCACAAATTTGAAATTTTTCAAGGGATACTTTCCTAGAGATCCACAGGACTCAACCCAAATGCGTTTCTTATTATAAGAATCTAATATTTTAATCTGCATTAAAATAGAAGAAGTTATGCACCAAAAAAATTATGCATTATAATTTACATAATGTCCTTTCATACATACATACATACCAATCTCTTAGCATCCTTCACTCTCTGTTTAGCTGCTTCAGTTGTAAACATACTATCATATATTGTTACAACATGATCTACCATATCCAACACCAACAGATACCAATGTGAATTATGGTAGTTTATTGTGATCATGATCTGCAACAAATTTCACACCCAATTTGACAAAATTCAACATTCTATATCCGAAAACATCATTTGCAATTGGTATGGTGTCTTACCTTCTCACAGTCGGTGAATTTCACATAGTTATCCAATATGACACCCCAGAAGGTAGAAATACTCTCAACACTTTCTTTGTTGTTGGCTTCCAACGCCTGTTGCTGTAATTACACAACAAACATTATTAATTTACCGTCTATAACACTACTTTTCAATATTTATTAATTTAACTCACCACTAAGAGGTATGGAAGGTAGCCAATCCTCCGGAGTGACTTTTGAGAATCGTAGCATATGGTCCAGGCGAGCAAATCGATAACCTAACAAAATTAATTACACAATCAGAACATATTCAATAAGTTTTAACATTTTCTACTTTCTACTTACCACACCGCCAACCCATTCCGTAGGCTTCAACGTTGCAACGTCGTATACAGTAGCGAATTGATTTCCCATTGAGATTACAGAATATCTGTATGAATCATTAGGATTAATATGTTGTCATGAAATATTTAAATATCACTCACAAAACAATATATTTCACTTACCCCGATTCTAACTCGCTATTCCATAAATAATCACAAATTGCAGCTTCGATGTCATCAATTCCGCTTGGAATATCCGCTTTTTCAACCTACAATTTTGCATACAAATTTTTGTCACAACAACATAATAAAAATCAAATTAAGTATTCTTTTATTAAACTTACCTTCTGCTTCTTCTTCTGGGGTGCAGGACATTTCGAATCCAAAACTGCTGCTATAACACTCTCCGGTGTATAGATGACATCGACTTCCTTCCTCCTCATTTCTTCCATCTCTTCTTCTTCCTCCTCCCTCTTTTCTTCTTTATATTTTTTCAGTTCATCGTACTTTTTTCTACATAGCTCTTCATCTCTTTTATTTCACCCTTCAATTGAGCTCCTTCATCCGAGTATTGATCAACCACCCCCTTCACCCCCGTAAGTTCACTCCTCAAATCCACAACCTCCTTCACCACTCCCTCAAATTTTTCTCCCGTCACCATCTTAATATCACCCCTTAACACCCCAACTTCTTTCACCACTTCACCCCTCAACACCTCTACTTCTTTCACCACTCCATCTATTTTTCCTTCCACTACCCCCTTATGCCTCTCGAGTGTATCTTCGACTCTCTCGAGTTTCTCTACGACTTGATCAAGTTTCTCTTCGACTCTTGATTGTCTTTGCATGATTTCAAATTGGATTTTTTTGATATCAGCCAATTCAGACATCAAAATGTCGAAGTTACTCTGTTTTGCTTCACCGTCGTCCCACTCACCGTCATCCCCCAATACAACCATCCCTCCTTTCTTCTCCTCTGCCTCCACTGCCTCCTCTACATCCTTTCCAATAACCTTCAAAATTAAATTACAATAGTAAGACATTGATTATATTCTTAATATTATTTAATTACATTTATTACCATTTCTTGCTTCTTCCCTCTATCCAACTTCAACTTCACCATCACTCTAACCACCTCTTCCTTCCCCCATGCACGGATGCGTGCCACTCCGGTTCTTTCATAAGCCGGCACTGCCTCACAGCCCGACCAAAAATCTAACAGTGCAACCTGCATTTATAATAAAATTTATATTTTTATATAAAAACACAAAAAAGTGATTCAACTCATTTACCTCTAAGATTGCTATGCACCCTTTGAGGTATCTCTGGCTGCCCTTTTTAAAGGTGATGATTGATTCAATCAATCTCGAATGGATATATTCAGCCCAATTGAATTCACCCTTCAAGCCTTCATCGCAAATGAGCTTCATATATTCCTTGTTCGTTGACGTATCACCCGTTGGACAAAGAAATATCCCGACAAGGTACAATAGAACTCGGGCCTTCAGCTCATCCCCCCAGTAAGATCCACTTTTGATATCCTCTTCAACTTCAGCATATGTCACCTTATGATTCAAACCATATTTGGAGGCAAGTGCTTTCCAGTTCTTACTCCTACAGACTTCTATAACACTTTTACCTTTGTTTTGTACCCCCAATACGGCTGCAGCAGTCGATACCCCCAGAGGGAATGAATAATCACCATACTTAGCCATACATTGACTGACGTCAAATTGTGCCATCAAGGATCGACACAATTCCCTCCGAATAGGTCGATCCCTTACTCCGATCAACGATCCAAAACCTATTTCTCCCAGCACATTCAACTGACCCTTCTCCTTAAGGTGTTTAATTAATAAATTCACCCTTTTAATGCTGCATCTTGTCGACACTTCCTACATTTTTAACAATATATAATGTTATAGTTCTTATATATTTTGTATCAACGTATTTACAAGTTTAATGAATACCTTATTTTCATGTGCTTTCCTCCGTTCTTTGTATTCTTTACTATCATTCCTTGACTGTGTGATGTAAGGTTCCTTTTCAGCATCACTCATTGAATTCCATTTGGACCTCACATCTTTTTTCACCTAATATTAAACATAAACGTTTCTTAATCAATACATTAACACTAAATACTAATACTACTCAATGTCAATTTCATTTTACATACCGAACCGCTCTGTGTGCCATCTCCCTTCATCCTTTTGCATTCGGCCATACTGTTAACATTTAAAATTTGTAATCAATTTAAAGTTTATCGATACTTTAATCCAATTACCATTTCAACAATAATAACAAAAAGACATTGATACTTACTAGAAGTACATATCCACCCTTTGGTTGCTTTCGAGTCTCGGCCTCAATTTCAAAGTCATCTGCTCCACCAACAATTTTCCAACCCATTGACTCCATTTTTCCTTCATATATCAGTTTACGCAAATCAAATTATTTTGTTACATACACTTTTCAATATACAAATATAGATAACTACTCTTGTGGTAAAACGGTTTTCTTCAAAAGAATTGAATGGCCACACCAAAATGTGTCGGCACATTTATACAACCTATAATATCATTTTCTACCTATAATATTTAATAAAAGTATCGACATTTATATTTTTCCTTGAATATCTATTTCTACCTGCAATCGGTCCCAAATGCTTCCTTACTCCAAAACCCCAAACAACATATAAAAAACCCTATCGCGATTACTGTAATAATAAAAAATTAGGGTTTCGACAACATACTTTTCGATTCGACTGCAGCAACAAACAAACAAACTTCGCTTTAGAAACGCCTTCTGAAATGCAGCAACAATTACTCTTCGATTTCAAAAACTCGTCCGTTCTATCTTTTTTCAGAGGATATTTAGCTATGGCCTTTATATTTTCATCGGATATGTTATTTATATTTAATCGATACAAATACAAAAGTGTCGATACTTTTATGTCAGGTGTCGATACTTTCGAAAGGATAATTACCTATTTCTTTGAAAGTGTCGATAATTTATTATACGTACTTACGAAAGTATCGACACTTTCAATATATCCGGTATCATTTTACCGGTTTTATCATTTTGATACCGGTTTTATCATATTTTTACCTGTTATATCGTTGTGGATCGATATATTTTTTTAAAGTATCGACACATTATAGGCGCTATAACTGCTTCTCTTTTAAATTCACAAAGTGTTGATCCTTATATAACGTATCGACACTTTTAAATTTACCGGTTTTATCATTTTGTTACCGGTTTTATCATATTTTTACCTGGTATATCGTTTTGGATCGATATATTTTTTAAAAGTATCGACACTTTTTAGGATTTAAAACTGCTTTTAAAGTTATGTAATTTATGTTTCAATTTATTTAATAGTGTTTCATGTTTTCCACCTACAATATTAATTTAATAATTTCATTTACACAAAAAAATATTTGATTGTTTTGATATTTTATAAAATATTATTTAGATTTTAAATTTAACAATATTAACTAAAGATAATAATAAATATATTTTCACAGTGAAATAAGTATGGACACTTTTATAAAAAGGATAGATAATTTACAATATAACAGGTAAAAATATGACAAAACCAGATTCATTATGACAAAACCGGTAAAATTTACTTGATATGTTAAAAGTATGGACACTTTTATAAAAATGATAGATACTTACCGATAACCAAAGTTTACCGGTTACCAAATTTTTTAATAGTTTTTCATATTTTCTACCTAAAACATTATTAGTTGTCAACATAATAGGTACCGCTAAACCGAATTTATTAAATACATTTTAATGTATCCGGTAATACTGTATATTAGCCGTATATTAACCCGCCTTTCCTGAGACATTCCCAGTTTTACTCCCTCTTCCCAAAAACTAAGTAAACATACAAAATCTATATTAAACCAATTTCTTTAAGAGTTCTAACCCATTATCAAGTATTAAGCCCACTCCTTGTTCCAAAAAAAGAAATACTAAAGCCCAATGGAACTCGAGAAATGGTTTTATGGCGTTTCTTAATCTGCTCATGCAATCTTAACTTCTTGGAAACAACAGATTTGTCTGTGATTTCTCTGAAAACAGAGCTTCCATGACAGAAGAATGTTTCTTCGATTTGTGGAAAAACAAATCATAAAAAAAGATGAACAAAAGAAACAAGGGAATCCTACGTAGTTAATTAACCAACACCATATCCGTTTGATCAGATATTCAAATCTCAGAATCGCTTTGCCTTTTTTCCTTGTGATCTGATTCCAATAATTCGTTTTTTTTCGAAAAACCAGTCTTCCTGCGATGTTTTGTTCCTCGTACGGATCAGAGATAGACACGTTCAAAGAGACGACGACACGTGATCAGCTGATCCATTTGTCACGTTTTCTCCCTTGCTGACACGTCCCCTGCCGCTTTGGCTAAAAGTCTTATCAACTTCCATAAAAGAAAGGATGAACACAAGATTGTAATTGCAGCCATTTCCTTTACATGGTTAGTTTCAATGACTAGAGCTTTTGATCTCATAATTCTGGGATTTTTCTGGGTTGTCTTTGAGTTCTAAAGGTACCCTTTTCCTTGTTCTTTTAGCTTCAATGGCTTGCCCTTTTTGATCTCATAATTCCGGGATTTTTCTGGGTTGTTTTCAGTTCTAAAGGCACCTTTTTGATCCCATAATTCTGGAATTTTGTGGGTTCTTTTCTATTCTTTTGATTTCGTTGATTATTATTTGTTTTGTCTTCAATTGTGTATGATGTTCTTTGTTCATGCTATCATTTCCCTGTGTGGTTAGATTTGAGAGTTGTTTTTGCAGAAACAGAGAAATATAATGCCAAGGCAAAACCCGGCTGAAATGGTGGATCCGAGCAGCGACGGTGCCGCCGAGTATGTCGAATTGGGGGAACGTTCTTCCCCCAAGCTAGATAAGTACCAAAAGGTATCTGTCATACCTCTTGTTTTCCTAATCTTCTATGAGGTCTCAGGTGGACCTTTCGGCATAGAAGATAGTGTTCAAGCAGCCGGTCCCCTTTTAGCTCTCATCGGATTTTTGCTAGTTCCGTTCGCATGGAGCGTACCGGAGGCATTAATAACGGCTGAATTAGGCACAATGTTCCCGGAGAATGGAGGCTATGTTGTCTGGGTGTCATCAGCTTTAGGCCCTTACTGGGGCTTCCAACAAGGATGGATGAAATGGCTGAGTGGGGTTATCGATAATGCTTTGTATCCTGTTTTGTTCCTCGATTACCTGAAATCAGCCATCCCAGAATTGGAAGGAGGTCTTCCAAGGACGACTGCCGTGTTGGCTTTAACCGTAGTTCTCACTTATATGAGCTATAGAGGCTTGAATATAGTGGGATGGGTGGCAATATTCCTTGGGGTGTTTTCACTTCTCCCCTTCATTTTCATGGGGTTTGTGGCTGTTCCTAGATTGGATGCTTCAAGGTGGCTTGTAATGGACATTAGTGATGTGAACTGGAGTTTGTACTTGAATACTCTCTTTTGGAATCTGAATTATTGGGACTCCATTAGTACTCTTGCCGGCGAGGTGGAGAATCCAAGCAAAACTCTTCCAAAATCGCTTTTTTATGCTCTTTTATTGGTCATTTTCGGGTACTTTTTCCCTCTTTTGGTCGGTACGGGGGTGGTTCCACTCAATCGTGAGCTCTGGACCGATGGATATTTCTCGGACATTGGTCAAATGCTTGGAGGTGTCTGGCTGCGAACATGGATTCAAGCGGCGGCTGCTCTATCCAACATGGGGATGTTTCTCGCTGAGATGAGTAGCGATTCGTTCCAGCTCGAGGGAATGGCGATTCGAGGGATGCTTCCCGAGCTTTTCGCAAAGAGGTCTCCTTATGGAACCCCTTTGGTTGGGATCTTGTTCTCAGCATCCGGTGTTATACTACTGTCATGGATGAGCTTCCAGGAGATTGTGGCGGCAGAGAACTTCTTGTACTGTTTCGGAATGATCATGGAGTTTATAGCATTCGTGAAGCTGAGGATAGATCATCCAGCAGAATCAAGGCCGTATAAGATCCCCCTCGGCACGGTTGGATCGATTATAATGTGCATCCCGCCGACAGTGCTGATTCTCGTGGTTTTAGCATTTGCATCCTTCAAAGTCATGGTGATCAGCATGGTAGCAATTATGATCGGGCTTGTTCTTGAGCCATGTTTAAGGTACTCGGAGAGGAAGGGATGGTTCAAATACTCCATAATTGCTGACAACCATGACTATCATTCTGCCTATCAGTAATGTAATAAAAAGAACATGATATCATGTAACCACAATTCTCTTTCGTTCCGTTTTCCTTTGCATCTTTATAAATATATATCCATATTCGTGACGAAAAGATCCACCACCAATTAGTTTATAGCTCAGCACCAGATAGTTGTACTTACAAGTCTAATACCTATTGGAAATGTGTTAAAAAGAACATGTTTCACTACAAACATACATTATAACAAGAACAAAGTTTGCCGAACCCTCTGCCGTTTTCAAATCCGTAATATTTAAAGTGCCCCAGGAAAGAGGAGACTATTATTAAGTAAATAAAGACTTAGGAAACTATCACAGGTGATTGTCATCTTTGTACTCTTTAGTTCTAAGTTTTTCAGCACAGAAGCTAGACGCAGTTACAGTGTATCTTAGAGGCGTTGAAGGCTCGGTTCTCGTACCGGTCCAGAAGCTACTCGGTATTCATATAAGAAACTGATGCAACACAGAAAAACGTGTGTTGATGCATGATCAGGTCATGCTGGATTCCGTTGGCGTGGTACAAGGAGCCAGTGTATTAGGAGGCAAGTTCATTCCGCCCCCTCTAACAGATAGGTTTGGACCCTTTATGAAGCTAGCCCTGCTGACTAGGTTTGAGTCAAGGAACACCACGATTACTGTGATGTCATCGTGGAAATGCCGACGGACACCCCGGTCGATCTTCTTCAAGTCGGAATACCGCATTTCTCTCTTTTTCGCTGCTTTGTGTAGAGCAGTTCTTACCAGCCTCCTAGCACTTCCCTGCATGAAGAATCCAAGACAACAGAATTAATATTTATCAGTTCTTCTGATACCATTTCATCTGTTGAACAGTTATAACTTCGGATGCATGGGAGAATAAATGACTGTTTTCAAGGCTTAAACTTACACTTCGAGAATGCTTTCGAACAATATCGACAGCCTCTTGATTGCTTAGGTGCTCCCAGAGCCCATCGGACGCAAATATCACGAATTTATCATATGGCAATAGCTTGTGCACTGATATCGATGGGTCTGCGCTCAATATCGGCCTTTTAAAAGGCTCACGGAGGCGAAACTTGGGATATAAAGGCTCCCTGTTGAACTCAGCCTTTTTCAAATATACATCCCCGATTGATCGGGAAATCTGAAAGGTTGTTAATTCTATTAGTTAAACATCCTCGAAAAGTTCTGGCAACAAAGCAAAGCAGGGAAAACCATAGCAATGAAATTTTACAGAATCGATCATGGCTGGCTGCAACAGCGTGTCTTATTATAAGAATTCCATAAAACAAATTGCACTTCTAGGTGCACATAGTTTTTCGAGAAGTATTCGTAAAGACCGCTTTCCGGAGTCATTACGACAGCAGAAATCGAAATATGCACTTTACTCTCTCCGCAAAATCCGGAAAAATGCAAAACTCTAAAAGACAATGCAACAAAAACACATTAGGATATCCATGCACCTGCATAGAGATGAAAGGTTATGCAGCTATCGTGTTTCCATTATAAAGACTGAAAGTTTGAAACTAGCCAGCTCCGGGATCACCACCGAGCATATTAGTTAATTGCTTTCAGTGAGATCAATATACAATTCGACAAATTTTCTAGTTCCCATCATGAAACAGCAGGTAGCACTCTGTTATCACTTTTGATTATCTAGTTAATTACTAAGTTCTCTCGATCAATTATTATCATGGCATCGTTCCCCTCGAATGCTACACCGTTTTCCTCCTCAATATTGCCTTTGTCTTACAATTCTATTCTCGGTCGAAAACATTTATTTTCAGAAGGTAAGAATGAGTAGACTAAACAATGCCTCGGGTCGTGCCTTTATCTTGGAATTTAGCATAAATCGAACTACGGCTAAACCAAACTCCCCAATTATTCATAAATAGCACGTTCTATAGTGCTCAACTTGAACAAGAACTGGTTCAAGCTATCAAAGTTATTTGCATAGTGAAAAACTTACCCTATCAAAGTTATTTGCATAGTGAAAAACTTACCTGTATAAGACCTTTTACACGCCATACATTGTGCTTCAAAACAACAATCTGCGAGTCGTCAGGGTGCAACGACTGCAGCTCCTGTCTTACAGATTCTATGCACACGTTATGCTCCTCCGACAGCTGACTGGCTAGATACTCTCCTGTTTCCCTTACAGCTCTCCCCAAAACGGCACGTGAATCACCAAGGTTGGCAACGTAAAGGTTGCCGCCACAGATAACACCAACCAGGCAGCAGGATCCAACAGCTGCAATTTGTGGGCTCATAGGCCATTGTTTGGCAACGAGAGACGTAAAACCCTCTTCTGTTGCTTGATATGCTTTTCGTATTACGTCAACTGACATTGTCTGATGCTCAGAAGTGAACCCTGAAACATAACAAACATATCAGAATAACAAACATCACCGAAACAAAAGTTGATGAGAAAAATAAAAATGTAAAAGATAGATACCAAGGCTCTACAGCAACAAATCACTACTGAAAAGCAAAAACAACAAAGTGAGACTCGGAAACTTATAACAAGTTCACTACACTAATTCCTTTCGATCCGATAATTCTACCCCAAAAGTTGCTCTACTTCCCTGATCAGAAAGTAGAGGGAACTAAAAATTAACCCCAGAAAAGGCATCTTACGCTTGAGATGTTGAAAGAGATGATCATTGATGTAGCGCGAAGTCTCTGGCCCCCCATGCCCATCGTATACGCCAACAAAAGTACCATAGGGTCCTGACTCATGTGAACTCAAACAACCAGACTCAAGCTGGCTTTGGTCTTCAATCAAACTGTTGGCCTGAACCATTGCCATCGAGAACTCGCCGTTAATATGCTGTCCAATATCCTTGTACCACAAAAGCCCATCTTGACGGCCTGCGGCATCTGCACTTTCGTGATTGTATCGATCCGACCTCGGCCAAAAACAGGCCCTCAAAAGGTTAATCAACCCTGATAACATCCCTCATCTCATCCACAAAACCTCCAAATACGCCTAATCTAAACCACCACTGAAAAATAATAACCAAACCCGAAGAAAACCGAACAGCGAGCCGAACCAGCCTTTGCTTTCTCAACTCAATAATGGAACACTGGAGCAACATCAACAACAAAGAACACCAGCTTTCTCAACATAATAATGGAACACTACAGAAACATCAACAACAAAGAAAACCAAGAGGTAAGCAACACTGCAATGTGAGGTGAATAGCTTAAAAAAGCAACTAAATTACCAGCATCAATAAAAAAGAACCATACAGTTTGATAACTAATCTACCAGATCAGTCAATGATGTGTACTTAACAAAGTCATGGCTTTAACAGCTCCATATAAAGAAAAAAAATTCAACAAAAGAAAAAAATAAAACAAAGGGTTTTATTTTTCAAACAAAGTAGTTGGTCAGCCATTAGAATAACCAGAAGGTCTCATGTTTCACATTGAGAACTTTAAAAAACAAAACCCAGTTAAAAAAATATCACTTTAAAACACATTAATTATCATAATTCCACTTTTCTTTTCCACACTAAATAAGAAAAACAAAACTAAATTATATATTAAACAAAAGTTTACCTTTTGGTATGAAAAGAAGGATCTGGGAATAAGAAAGGGGAAAACTTCATTTCAACAATGAAAATTGGAATTTGCAGATCTATGGATGAATCAAACCAGAGATATAGAGGAAGGGAAAGTTTGGGTTTTGGTTGGTTTCAACTACTGATCAGAGAAATGAAATGGATGAATTTCTTTCTTTCTTTCTTTCTTTTTTTATACAGAAAAGAGAAGATTTTGGTTTTGCCTCCAACAACTTATATTATATACATATAAACCTCACTTTTCTAGCTGCCTCTCTTGTTTCTTCCTCTAATTCTCAGCAGACAATGACCCATGAAAGACCAACAATGGAGAGCTTGAAGCCAGCTAAGCAAAGGTCCAGTTTTGGGCTCCACACCCCCATGGCAATAAAAAGAGAGAAACGGAACAAAATATACTCAAAAAGGAAGAAGCTTCATAAGCTTAAATTTCAAATGGATAAATCTACATTTGTGTACTCAGTCATTTCGATTTTTATATATTAATAATCGAATACATTTTAAAATTAAACTATAATTATTGAATTGAGTTATTTTATATTTGAATATTTAATTTTATATTTATAATTAATTAAACATATAAAAATAATTTTGAAATTTTTATTCACTTTGAATTTTTAAAATTTATCAACGAGGTTGATTCAAATGGTAAGCAGTTTGATATCATTTAAACATATCTCGAGTTCGAATCTTTTATATGTAAAAACTCTCTACTAAGAAATATAATCATTAAAACTAGATATGCGAATTAGTGAATATCTTGAAAATAAAACCGATCATTGATTTAAAGTTGATATATACAGTGCATATCGGATGAAATGACCTTCCAGCTCAGTTGGTAGAGCACAAGGCTCTTAATTTTGGGGTCGTGGGATCGAGTCTCACGGAAGGCATTTCATAATTCGGAGGTCTCTTACGGAAGCTACTCTCAACCTGGCGTTGGAGATAACCTATTACATATGTGAATAAGGGTCAGCTAATACAATATACAGTGCATATCGGCTCGTACAAGCTAATAAAAAATTAATATTTTAAATAAATTTTTTTAATCTTTCATCACTATTAACTTTAGTATATGTTTTAGTAAGAGTCAATAAAATTCAACCCAATTTTAAAAAAATCATTAGATTTAATTTTAAAAAAATTCATTTGATTTAATTTTTAAAAAAGTAAATTTTTAATCGATTTAACACTAAAAAACTAGAGTCAACTTCACTTGATAAAAGAATTCAAATAAAATTTAAGTTATAAAATAAGATATAAATAACTCGAATTTTTTTATTTATTATTGTATTGATTTTTAGGTTCAATCCTATATGACATAATGTATATCACTTATGAAGAAATATACAATGTATACAGTTATAGAAACACATTTAAATTGGATTTAATTAGTACAATAGTATTATAAATATTTAAAATTAAATTTAACTAGAAAATTGTACAACTAGACTCAATAATTTTTTTAATAAAATTTTAGTTATAAAATAAACCTAATAATTTGATTAATTCAAAAAAATTTAATTTTATTTGATTTGATTCAATCTAATATTCACATATGCTTTCATATTGCTTTGTCAAGTACTCGGTTCTTTGTCCAAGTTTTCTGTTTGCGGTGCAATGGAGCCAAATCTGGAAGGGAGCTACTAACGAGTCGACCGGTGATGAGAATTTGTATATGATTCTTTCAACAAATACTGTAACAACCCGGAAAAATTTAGAGTAATATTAAATTGAAATTGGAGGTTAATTGTGAAAATTGGTAAATTATGAGGAATAAATTGAAAGTTCTGAAAATTTGAAATCCATTTTAGAAGTTGAAGAAAATTCAATGACCAAGCCCTGAGTTATACCTTTGAGTGTCGGCAGGTTTTTCTTTTAAAGGAAATGAATTGGTTTCTGCGTGAAAATACAGAAAACCAATTCAGAAATTCCCTTTCCCCTACACCAGTTTCCAACCTCGATTCCGACGCCGTCCGAATTCCGATCGTCGTTTTGAAACCACCGTTGTGTTCATCATCGAGCGAGGAACAAACCCTTCAAATTAATTGAAGCGAAACGCTGCCAAACGTCGGGAATTTCCAGTCAAAGTCTCGACGTTTTATTTAGCTCGATCGCTGGGAAAATCTCAAATTCATCGCCGATCGTTGCTCCGTTTACGACACCTCCTGCACCATCGTGTTCCTTGTGTCGTTTTGAGTCCGCCGGTGTCAACCTTGGTCTCCGTCGACGACAGCGCGTGAGGAGGTGGAGCAGTTTCGGCCAATTTAAAATCGAGCTCTCCGCCATTCAAAAATTGGAACCAATCGTTGTAAGTATCTCGAAATCGCTCAAAATAATTTGTAGAAATTTTTCCGTGATTTTTAGAGCCCCGGAGGACGTCTCACGCGCCGCCGTAGGGAGAGTGAGCAGCTGGAAAACCGGTTTGACCGGTTTTGAACTGGTTTTGACCGGTTTGACCGGTCTGAACCGGTCTGACCCAACCCGACCGACCCAGCCGTTGACCGTTGACTTTCTTTGACCAGAACCTTAAATGGCTTTGACCGATCCTTAAACGACCGTAAATATTTTCCGAGTATACTTATTCTGATAGTTTTCGACGTCCCGAATCCGTTTCCGAAGTCCGTTTCACCAAATTCGAACCCGAAGGCCTCCAAATTGACGGTCAAAGTTGTTGACTTTGACTTTGACCAAGAATTTAAATTTTTGAAAAGACATACTTTATGTTTTTCGACGCCCTAATTCTGATTCCGCAATCCGTTTGGGCAAATTCAATCCCAAAATCCTCCAAATTGATAGTCAAATCCTGAAAATGCTTATATACTTAAGAATTTAGCTTTGAACAATTAAGTAAGATTTGGGGCTGATAAATTATTATTGTTTGAAGGTACAAGAGACTCTCCGGATCGTTCGAAAGCTCGATCCAGCTCTTCTAGATCAATTAAACCACGTGTGGCCAGTATTAACCCGTAAGACCCGTAAATTTTATGATTTTAGAGATTTATTTATGTTACCCATAAGTAATATAGTGTTATTATAAAATAGGTTCAAAAATTGTAGCAGAGCATGGTGAAACCAACAATCAGTAGATCTACTATTTGAACCTATTATCGAGGTATGTTCCCTAATTATTACTGAACTATTTTATTGGTTTTAATATGAGGTACACTGAGTTCTTTGGTTACTGTTTTATTGATGCACCAATTTAATGTGATGATTTATGGAATTTGTGTCACGGTGCAATTGAACTTTTGGATTGAATTACAATAGTATAGCTCTGATCAAGCTAATAAACAGAATGGGCCTAATGTGACTCTTGGGGCCCTAAGATACATTAGGTTGGCTTCCCTTGTTGTGTGCTTACGGTAAGCTATATGGACTTGGACTTACGGGCTTAAGGATACAAGCTCTAAAGCTTATCCTTAGGTTGGCTTTCTTTTTGCTGTGTGCTTAGAGTAAGCTATATGGAAAATAGTTTTGGAAATTACTGATGGTGTACAAGAAAAGAGTTTAAACTATGATTTTCAAAAGTTAAACTCTTTTATGAATTTATGAGATTTACTGGACTATGATTTGTTTAATGTACCTATTGTGATTTTAAGGTAATATTGGGACACACTGAGCCTAGCTCACCTTTCGAAAATGTTTTCCCCCCTTTCAGATACTATTGGTTAGATACATCGGTTCGAGCACTTGGAGGATCAACATATCTCTTGAACTATATCTGATTGTAATGTTTTATCTTGCTAGTTGACTTTATTTTGGTGACATGGACCTTATTTTAAAGTATCGTATTTTAGGATGCTGACACTTTTGCTATTACTGTTCGGTTTATTGTGATTTTGATTTTGAAGACATGTTTTAAATTAATTTATTACTTATTGGTATTATATTTACAAGTTGGGTTTTGATGGTATAATTTATTTCATGACATTTATAATGTGATTTTACATTGATTGAATAACAGTTTCAGAAAATGTCTTTAAGAATCATAATGTGATCCACTAGACTTAGTCGAAACGCATAGGCCGGGTCTAGGGGGTTACATACATTGGTATCAGAGCTTTTGGTTTTTAAACCGCGGACTGTGTATGAGTCCACATTGAAAATACAGTTTTAGAAATATTTTACAAAACAAGTTACTACGGCCATGTCACAAGTTATTAAGATTTTAACTGTGTTCAAGACTCCAAGTGCTTGTCTAACCCTAAGTTTTATCTCCTGTAGTAAACTCGAGATCCGCCAAAAAAATGAGTGCTAGACGTGGTCGTCGAACTAGCCATGGACGAGGTCGAGTGGCTAGATTTGCAGACCCGATCGATGAGATACGAGTAAATCCCCCACCTCCAATAGGTGATCTTGCTCCTACGACCCCAACAAATCTGCCTCCTGCCGCTGGTATTGGCATGACTACACCAATCATAGGAGCAACCGATATTGAGTCAGAGTCTACCGGAGTTGCTTTGGATGAGAATTTTGGTAGACAATTTCTGCAGTTGATACAGGGAGCAGTCAGAGCTACTGGTGTTGTATCAGAGGTTCCTATTTCGCAGACTTTGATTGCCAATGGAAGTTAGAACTTTTGGGGGACAGATTGGTGGAGCTCCTACTGAAGTTGAGGATTGGCTCCAGGATACAGAGAGACGCATGGATCAGTTGGGTTTAGACTCAACTAAGAGATATCAGGGTGTTGTGGCGATGTTAGATGGCAATGCCTACACTTGGTGGGAGTCAGTGACCAGTAGTGTTCCTACCGATCGTTTGACCTGGAATTTCTTTGAGGATCGCTTTCAGAGTCATTTTCTGGGAGAGCGCTACTTAGCTCAGAGACGTCAGTAGTTTCAAGACCTGGTTCAGGGAGACATGACTGTTTCTGAGTATGAGATCGAGTTCTTAAAGTTGCTGAAGTATGGATTCAGTATGGTACCTACTGAGAGAGATCGATGTCGTAAATTTGCCCTTGGACTCAGATACGAGCCGCGTAGGCAAGTTGTAACCCATCAGGATGAGATATTTGATGTGCTGGTGGGCAGAGCCAAAGATGCTGAAGAGGTGGAGGTTTTAGCTTCTGGTAGAGAACGTGTTGAACAGGAACGATCTAAGAAATTTTTAGGCCCGATGGAGTCATCAGCACAGTCCGGAAAAAGGACTCGTACTTCAGTCCCTCAGAGAAGCAATACACGTTTCAGGCCTGCAGCATCCTCACCGTTAGTTCGTAGTTGAGGCGGTTCTTCGTCGTATTATCATGGGTTCCTCTGTGAGTTTTGTGGTAAACAACACACAGGAGAGTGTCGTAAGAAGATGGGTCTTTGCTATCAGTGTAGATCTAGTGGTCATTTTCGGAGGGATTGTCATCAGCTAGCTTCGTTTGAGCAGACCGTTACCCAAACTCTTGTACGTTCTCAGACTACAGTACAGACCCCAATTAGAGATCGTAGTCAAGAAAAGACTCGAGGATCAGCATCCAGGACAGACAGTAGAGCTTGACCTCAGCAAAATAGAGGGCCAATAGTTTCTGAGGCTAGACAACCATCTTTGGTTTATGCCACTAGACGTCGGGATGACAGAGATGAGCCTGAGGTTATTGCAGGTACATTTACTATATATTCCATTTCATACTTTGCATTACTGGACAATGGCTCCACTCACTCCTATGTATCGAGCTCGGTATCTCGAAACCTTCAGATTCCGATCGAGAACACTGAAAATAATGTTACGGTTACGAGTCCAGTAGGACAGGCGATATTAGTGAATAAAGTATTTCGGCGTTGTCCTCTGGAGGTTAAGGGAGAAATTTTTCTCGCTGATCTTATGGAGCTTCCTTTAGAGGAGTTTGATCTAATTCTTGGGATGGATTGGTTGACTAAACACAAGGTAAATCTGGATTACGAGTACAAGAGAGCTACTCTGAAAACTTCTGATGGTCGGACTGTTGTGTTAGTTGGTGAACGTCGCGGTTATCTCTCCAATATAGTTTCAACGATGGAAATTGATCGTATGATCCGGAAGGGATATGAGACTTTCATTGCTTGTATTTTGAACACCAAAGGTGTATTGTCCACGATCGAGGAGATTCGTACAGTTAGCGAGTTTCCTGATGTTTTTCGGAGGAGTTGCATGGGTTACCTCCTGATAGAGAGGTAGAGTTCGAGATTGAGACTTATCCGAGATCTGCACCTATTTCTATGGCACCTTATCGCATGGCTCCAAAAGAACTTAAGGAGTTGAAGGTCCAATTGCAAGAATTATTCTATCGAGGATTTATCCGACATAGTACCTCACCCTGGGGAGCTCCAGTTCTGTTCGTGAAAAAGAAGGATGGGTCGCTAAGATTATGTATTGATTATCGGAAGTTGAACCAGATGACGGTCAAGAATAAATATCCACTACCCAGGATTGATGACTTATTTGATCAGTTGCGAGGAGCTACTGTATTCTCTAAGATTGATCTTCGTTTGGGGTATTATCAATTGAAAGTTAAAGGATCTGATGTTGCAAAGAATGTCATTTGCACTAGATATGGTCATTATGAATTCTTAGTGATGCCTTTTGGTTTGACGAACGCTCCTGCAGCTTTCATGGATTTGATAAATCGGGTATTCCGACCATATTTGGATCAATTTATGGCGGTCTTCATTGATGATATTCTGATCTATTCTCATACTAAGGTAGAGCATGACGAGCATTTGAAGATCGTTCTACGAACTTTGAGAGAGCATCGTCTTTATGCCAAACTAAGCAAGTGTGAGTTTTGGTTTCAAGAAGTGTCGTTTCTGTGGTATATTATTTCAGGGCGAGGTATTCAGGTCGATCCAAGCAAGATTGAAGCTATTGTGAATTGGAAACGACCCAAGAATATCTCTGAGATTTGCAGTTTCTTGGGTTTGGCTGGTTATTATCGACGTTTTGTTGAGGGCTTTTCGATCATTGCTTCTCCTTTGACAAAGTTGTTAAGGAAGAATGTGTCGTTTGACTGGGGTGAGGCACAACAGGAGAGCTTTGAGAAATTAAAGGCGGTATTGACTCAAGCACCAGTATTGATTCAACCAGAGTCCGGGAAGGATTTTACAGTGTATAGTGATGCGTCACACTCAGGACTCGGCTGTGTTCTAATGTAGGAAAGTAAGGTGGTGGCTTATGTATCCCGTCAGCTTCGACCGCATGAGTGTAATTATCCTACTCACGATTTGGAGTTGGCAGTAGTAATTTTTGCCTTGAAGATTTGGAGACACTATCTTTATGGAGAGAAGTGTTACATTTTCACGGATCATACGAGTTTAAAGTATCTTCTGACCTCGAATGAGCTTAATTTGAGACAGCGACGCTGATTAGAGCTTTTAAAGGATTATGATTGCGTGATTGATTATCACCCTGATAAAGCTAACATTGTAGCGGATGCTTTGAGTCGAAAGGCGGTAACAGAGTTGAGATCTTTAATGGCCAGGATGAATCTATATGACGATGTCACTCTGTTAGCAGAATTGCAAGTTAAGCCGACCTTGGTTGATGAGATCAAGGCTAAGCAGCCCCTTGATAGCTCCTTGTTTCCCATCTTTGAACAAGTAGAGCATGGGACAAATTCAGATTACGCAATTGATCGGGATGAAGTTTTATGCTTTAAAGGTCGGTATTATATGCCGGATGATGCTGAGTTGAGGCAGACTATCCTTATTGAGGCGTATAGTAGTCCATATGATATGCACCCCGGTGGAGATAAGATGTATCGGAATTTGAGAGAGAGGTATCATTGGGTCGGCATGAAGAATGACATCTAGAATTTTATGGCTAGGTGTTTGACTTGTCAGCAAGTTAAGGCAGAACATCAACATCCATCAGGTTTGTTACAACCTATCAAGATTTCGGAATGGAAATAGGAGCGTATTACTATGGATTTTGTTACTGGTTTACCTATGACTCCTTCGAAAAAAGATTCAGTTTGGGTGATTGTTGACAGACTTACAAAGTCAGCTCACTTCATTCCTGTGCGGGTAAATTATACTTTGGACAAGCTGGCGAGATTGTATATTTCAGAGATTGTCCGATTACATGGTGTTCCAGTGTCTATTATTTCTGATCGAGATTTACTTCGAGATTTTGGAAGGCGCTACATACGGCTTTGGGAACAAGATTGGATTATAGTACATCCTTTCATCCACAAACTGATGGTCAATCTGAGAGAGTGATTCAGATACTGGAGGATATGTTGCGGGGTTGCGTAATCGATTTTCATGGTAGCTGGGAGAACTTTTTGCCTTTGGCTGAATTTGCTTACAATAACAGTTATCAGACCAGCATTCGTATGGCACCTTACGAAGCACTCTATGGGCGTAAATATCGCACTCCGATCTGTTGGACTGAGTTACGTGATAGGAAGACGTTGGGACCTGAGTTAGTGGGTGAGACGGAGGACACAGTCAGATTGATCCGTGACCGTCTCAAAGAGGCATTTGATAGGCAGAAGTCTTATGCATATCAGAGAAGGAAAGATATACAATTTGAGGTTGGTGATCAGGTCTTTTTAAAAGTTTCACCCTGGAAGAAAGTATTGAGATTCGGGCGTAAGGGTAAATTGAGTCCAAGATTTATTGGACCATTTAGTATCTTGAAGAGGGTAGGACCTGTAGCATATCAGCTTGAGTTGCCTTCTGAGCTCAGTCGTATTCATAATGTCTTCCATGTATCAATGTTGAGGCGATATCATCCAGATCCAGATCACATCATTCAAGTTGAGGATATAGAGCTGAGACCTGATTTGTCATATGAGCAGGAGCCCATTCAGATCTTAGAGAGAGATGAATGAGTTCTTCGGAATAGGCGTATTCCAATGGTCAAGGTTCAGTGGAGTAATCGAGGCCCCTCAGAAGCTACTTGGGAGACATTGGAGTCAATGGAGGCTCAAATTCCTCATCTATTTTCATAAGGTAAATTTCGAGGACGAAATTTCTGGTAGAGGGGGAGAATTGTAACAACCCGGAAAAATTTAGAATAATATTAAATTGAAATTGGAGGTTAATTATGAAAATTGGTAAATTATGAGGAATAAATTGAAAGTTTTGAAAATTTCAAATCCATTTTAGAAGTTGAAGAAAATTCAATGACCAAGCCCTGAGTTATACCTTTGAGTGTCGGAATGTTTTTCTTTTAAAGGAAATGAATCGGTTTTTGCGTGAAAACACAGAAAACCAATTCAGAAATTCCCTTTCTCCTACACCAGTTTCCAACCTAAATTCTGACGCCGTCCGAATTCCGATCGTCGTTTTGAAACCACCGTTGTGTTCATCATCGAGCGAGGAACAAACCCTTCAAATTAATTGAAGTGAAACGCTGCCAAACGTCGGGAATTTTCAGTCAAAGTCTCGACGTTTTATTTAGCTCGATCGCCAGGAAAATATCAAATTCATCGCCGATCGTTGCTCCGTTTACGACACCTCCTGCACCATCGTGTTCCTTGTGCCGTTTCGAGTCTGCCGGTGTCAACTTGGTCTCCGTCGACGGCGGCACGTGAGGAGGTAGAGCAGTCAAAGTTTCAGCCAATTTAAAATCGAGCTCTCCGCCGTTCAAAAATTGGAACCGATCGTTGTAAGTATCTCGAAATCGCTCAAAATAATTTGTAGAAATTTTTCCGTGATTTTTAGAGCCCCGAAGGACGTCTCACGTGCCACACGCGCCGCCGCAGGAAGAGTGAGCAGTTGGAAAACCGGTTTGACCGGTTTTGATCGGTCTGACCCGACCCGACTGTTAACCCGAACCGACCGTTGACCGTTGACTTTCTTTAACCATAACCTTAAATTGCTTTGACTGACCCTTAAACAACCGTAAATATTTTCCGAGTATACCTATTCTGATAGTTTTCAACGTCCCGAATTCGTTTCCGAAGTCCGTTTCACCAAATTCGAACCCGAAGGCCTCCAAATCGACTATCAAAGTGGTTGACTTTGACTTTGACCAAGAATTTAAATTTTCGAAAAGACATACTTTATGTTTTTCGACGTCCTGATTTCGATTCCGCAATCCGTTTGGCCAAATTCAAATCGGAAATCCTCCAAATTGATAGTCAAACCCTAAAAATGCTTATATACTTAAGAATTTAACTTTAAACAATTAAGTAAGATTTGGGGCTGATAAATTATTATTGTCTGAAGGTACAAGAGACTCTCCGGATCGTTCGACAGCTCGACCCAGCTCTTCTAGATCAATTAAACCACGTGTGCCAGTATTCACCCGTAAGACCCGTAAATTTTATGATTTTAGAGATTTATTTATGTTACCCATAAGTAATATAGTGTTATTATAAAATAGGTTCAAAAATTGTAGCAGAGCGTGGTGAAACCAGCAATCAGTATATCTACTATTTGAACCTATTATCGAGGTGTGTTCCCTAATTATTACTGAACTGTTTTATTGGTTTTAATATGAGGTACCCTGAGTTCTTTGGTTATTGTTTTATTGATGGACCAATTTAATGTGATGATTTATGGAATTTGTGTCACGGTGCAATTGAACTTTTGGATTGAATTACAATAGTATAGCTCTGATCAAGCTAATAAACAGAATGAGCCTAATGTGACTCTTGGGGCCCCAAGATACATTAGGTCGGCTTCCCTTGCTGTGTGCTTAGGGTAAGCTATATGGACTTGGACTTACGGGCTTAAGGATACAAGCTCTAAAGCTTATCCTTAGGTTGGCTTTCTTTTTGCTGTGTGCTTAGAGTAAGCTATATGGAAAATAGTTTTGGAAATTACTGATGGTGTACAAGAAAAGAGTTTAAACTATGATTTTCAAAAGTTAAACTCTTTTATAAATTTATGAGATTTATTGTACTATGATTTGTTTAATGTACCTATTGTGATTTTTAAGGTAATATTGGGACACACTGAGCCTAGCTCACCTTTCGAAAATGTTTTTCCCCCTTTCAGATAATGTTGGTTAAATACATCGGTTCGAGCACTTGGAGGATCAACATATCTCTTGAAGTATATCTGATTGTAATGTTTTATCTTGCTAGTTGACTTTATTTTGGTGACATGGACCTTATTTTAAAGTATCGTATTTTAGGATGATGACACTTTTGCTATTACTGTTCGGTTTATTGTGATTTTGATTTTGAAGACATGTTTTAAATTAATTTATTACTTATTGGTATTATATTTACAAGTTGGGTTTTGATGGTATAATTTATTTCATGACATTTATAATGTGATTTTACATTGATTGAATAACGGTTTCAGAAAATGTCTTTAAGAATCATAATGTGATCCACTAGACTTAGTCGAAACGCATAGGCCGGGTCTAGGGGGTTACAAATACAATTTTTTGCAGAGGATGATAATGGGGAAGACGATGAAGAAAAGGACTGAATCTGCGCGCATATGAACCTGGCGTGACCAGTTCGATTAATCGGTGAGATGATCTTTTCGAACTTTGAGACGGTGAGGTGGGCGATGTCAATGTTAGAGATTTAAATTATGATTGAAATTATGGTTTTTTTATTACGTTACATTTTTTCTCGGTTGCGAATGTAATGTATACTATTTTAATCATTGTGGATATTGTGTTAATGAACTTCTTTTTAAAGAAATTGAACTTTTTTAGAAAAATGAGCTGATTTTTTAAAAATAAATTAGAATAGCATAACAAGAGCTGGAATAGTGGTCGGTTAATGGTGTAATAGACCACTACCATTAAATTACGACAACAATCTATTATTATTGATGTGGTTTCGGGTGCTGTCGTTACATATATATAACTATCGTTATTCCGTTATTTGATCACTATTTGAATCTTTGATCGATGCATTCGACGTGGTTTGATTGGTGAGAAAAAAACGTGAATCGGGTGTTTCATGCTCTTGGACAGCCATCTGATCATCTATCTTAGGATAACCGAGTAGATGCGCCGACAATTATAGAAAACGACGATGAAAAATAGGAGAAGATTTGTGGAGAGATGATAGCTTGAGTTTTGTTATATATTATCTTTATCAACAAGTATTTAAGTTTGTAGCTCAGTGTAGTGGGCAAAATTTCTTAAATAATGTTATGGAAAAAAAAAAAGAATTTGTTCATACGAAGGGTTGGAAAATTTATTTTTTTTCAATTAAAGTGTTTATTACAGTACCATTGGAAAGTAACTGGATTATTTGACGATCCCTAGAAGACGTTCAGACGACTAGATTTTTAGATTGTATAATTTTTAATTCTCGAATTTTCAGATGCCAAATTGTATGTAGCATGAGAAAGATGTCGTGTCTTCCATGCGTCTCCCAAAGACATCATGTGGTCCGAACGACTTCCTACAGACATTGTAACGTTCACACTATCTCAGCAAATAATATTTCTAACACCTTCCATGAACCATTCTTGTTTCCAAACCATTATATCATCAAATTCATCCAATTCAATAATTAAACTTCTAATCTCCCAATTTTAAATCATCATCTCATACGTTGTATAATAGGTAACTCAAGAAGAAGAGTGTGCTAAAGTGGTTCACAGTGAACTATCAACCTTGAAAACGGTAGAGTTTTGGCAAAATTATGATAGAAAAGAAACCAATGTGGAAGCAACAGTGTAATGTTTGTCCTCCAAATGATGCAAAAGTATTGGGTCCATCTTATAAGGTCACTTTATATTCTTTCTCTTTATATATATATATAATATAGTGGGGTTGATGCTTTGCATGCATGCATCCATCCATATTTTACATTTGTATAGTGTGAAGTTCACGTAAAATATTCAGATTTATGTTTAATCTATAATGGTATAGTGATATAGACATATGCATTAATATTCATCGCTACGTACAATTTTTTTCCATTTCCAACATTCATCCAAATTCGAATAACAAAGATTGTCCTTTTCATTCTCATTTTATGTGATTTATTAGCTTTTCTTTGCAAGCTTCTCCAAATTATTAGTTTGTCTTTGTTAAATTATTTAAAGATTTGTTCATCATTCATTTGGAATAATTTCCTTACCAAGTTCATATAGACCAAGGCCATATGTACATACCCAACCATGAAAATACTATTGCGATAGGTACTGTTACCAATCACACTTAACAAAGATTAATGAAAACGCTATATTACGAATGAATTCGAGTTTGATGTGTCGGATATTTGTTCAATGAGTTATAATACGTCTCGAACATCAAAACAACGCTTCTGAACAAATCAAAATACTAACTACATTTTTCTCTTAAAAATTCATTTCCAATGAAAAAAAAATAGCATATCAACATGACGAGTTAGAATAAATGTATGTTTGGGGAGAAAATGAACTTCAGTATTTTAATCAAAATATTAGTTGGATTAAGGTATAAATACAAAATCTCAAATTGAACTAGAATAGAGGGACTAACACAATAATTTAACCTCTACTTTTCAGTGGCAGCTGTGAGGTGTCTGAACCACAAATCGCATACCGTGTTAAGAAAATATCAACAGTTGAAAAAAATATACACATATACATATATCCCAAATTCGTTTGAAGAATTAAATGAACCCAAAGTTTCAAAATGGAAATTGTAGAAGACGTGGTGATTGTGGGGGCTGGAATTGCAGGTCTCACCACATCGTTGGGACTTCATAGGTATTATCGTATCACGCCAGCCTCCGCCGGCGTCACCACCACCAAACTTGTTGATTCGATTACTTTCACACACACACACACACACATATATATATATATATATATACAAAACTAATTGATTGTGGAATATTTCAGGCTGGGAATTCGTAGTTTAGTGTTGGAATCATCGGAGGGATTAAGAACCACCGGATCTGCTTTGAATACGTGGACCAATGCCTGGAAAGCCCTGGATGCTGTCGGCATCGGTGAATCTCTGCGCCACCAACATCGTCTTATACCAAGGTATTTATGCCCTCACCACCTTTACTTTCAAGACTCTTGAAATTTAGTCCTTGTGCTTTTATTTTTCAGGAGTTTAATCCTTCAACTCGCCTGGTTTGAAAAAAGGCCAATTGATAACACTATTAGTGAACTTATGTTATATTTAGGTTTAAATATAAAAAACGTGCCCAACCTATGTCCGTTTTTTCAATTTAATACCTAACATTTATTTCGTTTCAGTTTGGTGCCTAACGTTTCATTATGTTACTCAAAATGGGTCAAACCGTGACAAATCATTAGTTTTTAACGTTAAGTTATATGTATCACAGTCTGATAATTTTAAATTTTTATATAAAATTTAAAAAAAATAAAATTATATATTTTTAAAAAAAGAAAACACACAAATTTTGAAATAATCTCAAAACTTTGAAAACCTTCATTTCAATCCCTAAACTCACGTCGACTGTCGCCCTTTGCCGTCGACAAAGCTTCACCTGTAACTTACATCGCACCGACGACCAAAACTCCTATGCAATCGTGACTAATCAACATTCAATCGATGGCCAATCGAAGTTTTATACCCAACGAACCCTAGGATGAAAATTGCAATTCCTAGCGATTGTGACGGCCAATCGACAACAACTAAGACGACTTATAACTAGGATGATAACAAAGACTGCATTGGTGGCGGTGGTCCTAGCTAGAAAGGGCGGAGGGTTAGTGTTAGGATTTGGAGATTCTAGGGATTTTGAGACTTTTGTAATTTAAAGACATAAGGGTTTGTTTTATAAACATGATAATATTTTTAATATTTGTTTAAAAAATAAAATTTAAAATTACGAGATTGTGACACGTGTCACTTAACGGAAAAAACAAATGGTCCTTCACGGCTTGACCTATTTTAAATAACGGAATAAAACGTTAAGCACCAAACTAGAACAAAATAAATGTTAGACACTAAACTAAAAAAACATGCATAGGTCAGAGACCTTTTGTATATTTAAGCCTTATATTTATTTTAATTATTTTACTTAATATTATAGACATTTTACGTAATTGTACAAAAAAAATAGACATTTTACGTAATAAAACTTTAATTCGTATAAAAAAATTCACATACAATTTTAATTATTATATTTAATTTATTGATTTATTTACCGTATATAGTACACTTAATGTCATTGAACCATGTTAAAATGATTCTTTTGGTCACTAAACTTTCAAAAGTTATAAAATAGTCATTAAATTAGTTGAAATGTTACAAAATGATTACTACTATGTTATAATAATTGTAATAATTCAATAAAATTTAATAATTATTTCGTAACAGTTCGATAAATATATTGACTATTTTATATCTTTTGTAAGTTTAATAACAAAACGATCATTTAAGCATAGTTCAATATTCTCTGCGTACTTTACCCTTATCTTAATGCAGCCTACTTGTGACTTCTACATCCTTAGTGAAGCCAGCATCAGAGATTTCATTTAAAGGTCATGAAATTCGTTGTCTTCAACGGAGATTGTTGTTGGAAACTTTAGCAAATGAACTCCCTAATGGAACTATCAGGTTCTCCTCTAAACTGGTTTCCATTGATGAATCTGCAAGCTACTTCAAACGACTGCATCTTGCCGATGGAACCATCATCAAAACCAAGGTGCAAAGATTGAATTTCAACTCCGAGTATAGTAAAGGGACCAAAACAAAAACTTGACCTATATTTTATAACTTCAGGTATTGATCGGGTGTGATGGAGTCAACTCGGTGGTGGCAAAATGGCTTGGTTTCAAGAAGCCAACTTTCACAGGTCGATCATCAATTAGAGGTAATGCAAATTTCAAAGGAGGTCATGGATTTGGAACCACTTTTAGGCAGTTCTTCGGCAATGGTGTTCGATCAGGCCTAGTCCCGTGTGATGACGAGAATGTTTACTGGTTTTTCACTTGGACTCCAGCCACCACAGGTAACCTGACTTTTTAAAACACTGCTTAAATTGCAGATATCATTGTTGTTGATTTTCAATATCTGCAGAAGAAGAAATGGAAGACGATCCGGTTAAGCTGAAGCAATTCGTACGAAGCAAGCTCAATGATACATCGGATGAAATGAAATCCGTCGTCGAAAGAACTTCGTCACGCAACATTATATCGAATCCATTGAGATATAGGAAGCCGTGGGAGCTTCTTTGGGGGAACATCAGCAAAGGTAATGTTTGTGTCGCCGGCGATGCTCTTCACCCCATGACACCAGACATCGGCCAAGGTGGATGTTCCGCCTTGGAGGATGGCGTTGTTCTTGCTAGGTGCCTTGGTGAAGCCTTGTTGAAACCTGCAGGCAGAGTAGAAGAGGAATACGAGAAGATTGAGATGGGGCTGAAGAGATTTGGCAAAGAAAGAAGATGGAGGAGTTTCGATCTGATTGCCACTGCTTTCATGGTGGGTTATATACAACAGAAAGATGGGAAGGTGGTGAAATATTTGAAAGACAAATTTTTGTTGGGATTCCTCTCTTGGTTAAGGTTGAGGAAGGCTGAATTTGATTGTGGCAAGCTTCCTGGATAATGGAGAAAAGTGTGCATAGAGGTTGTGAATTATCGTCTTTATAGTACATTCTCTAGATAGATTTTGTATTAAATAAAGAGAAAGATCTTGTAATACTCGATCTAAATTAATTAATATGTAAATCATATATAAGTGAAATTAATCCGACTTTATATATTTATAGTAAAGACAATTTGGATTTACCGTTTTGAAAATGAAATAGAAAACAGCCCTCCTAACTTTTAGAGAATGTATATGTTTTTTCTAACACATTAGATACAAGTTGTTCCTGTATTAGGTACATTCGCCTTTAAATTTTGATTGTATTTTAGATATTTCGATTTCATATTCGAGCTAAAAAATTTTATGCTCAAATTGTCGATAAGAAAACAAAATAAGTCAATTGATGCTATATTGATACTTTAATGACTTAGAATTTTTTTGAAGTGTAGAACCAATTTAAAAATTATACCATAATTTAAGATGATCAAATGAAATTTATAACAAACAAGATCAAACGATAATCCAACAAGATAAAATTTATACTCAAAAAATTTCAACGGAAAATATAGAAAGTCAAGAGAGGTTCTTTAGAAAGATATCAAAAGATCTTTTCTCAAAATACATGTTTAATAATACAAAATTTAAATTATATAATTTGTTTGTCAATGCAAGATTAATACACTCTATCACTCTTGCCGTCATTATATGAACCGTATATGGGCAGAATTGCCGTCATTAAGTAATTATTGCATGAACTAAACTTATTTAGTAATAGTACATATGTCATTTTCTATTTTTTTTTTAGATCTTTCACTACTTCGGATTAAGACACCTTCGTATTTCTTTTTGTTCGTCTTTTTCTTATCAATTTCTATACTATAATTTTTAATTTTTTTCTTCCTTCTCAACGAGTCGTTTGCTACGCCGCTTCGGTAAATCTCCATACTTCTTCTTCTTCGCTTCCATTTTCATTTTCTTCTTCTTATGCTCCTCAACTATGTACTACTATATCTAACGACTATAAACGGATAGGTTTTTCAAATTGAAAATAGCAGTTGAAACTCGTCACACCGGTGTGACGAGTTCCATTGAATTTAAAAAAATTTTGCCCGTTCAACAACGGTCACCCCAACGGTCCAAAACCTCAAATTTATACCCGTTAGAACTCGTCACGCCGGTGTGATAAGTTCCCTATCCATTTAGATATTATATTTTTTATAATTTTTTTAAAAATTTCCAAAAAAAAATATTTTTATTAGGACTCGTCACACGGGCATGACGAGTCCCTTAATATATATTAAATATATTCGTTCTGTGGGACGTGTATCACATAAAACTCTTCACGCCGACATGATAAATTTCATGTCCAATGTAACATTTGTCGTAAATCCTAAAATAAAAATCAATATGCCTTATTGGACTAAATAAACGGCCCGCTAGGATTACCCATATATGCATATAATAGAATTTAAATCAAAATACATCTATAATTTGAAATTATTATTGTAAAAATTAAAATAGTGATCCAACGATAAAATCATTATTATTTTTATTCTATACTAAGAACCCACGTGTGATATTTAAATATTAAACACACTATGAGATGATAAAATATTAAAATTACCTAAATTAATTTATACATTTTTCAAGTTTTCCTTAAAAGCAAAAGGCTACCTTTCTTCCCTTTCAAAAAATCTCCCAACCAAGTTATCCCATTTCCATTTCCTTTACCTAAATTAATTTAGCACCCTTACTATTATTTTATTCTATTTTAGTCATCTAATTATTTTTTTAAATTATATTTATAGTTTTATTTTGGTCACTAGCTGTTAAAAAATTAACGGTGATGTTGTTATGTCATCATAAGATAATGTTAAATCATCATTGAAAAATAAAGATAACACATCAACAATTCTATTAATTTTTAAAAAGTAGATAATTAAAATGAAATCGAAATATAATATTATTTATGATTTTAAAAAATATTAGTAAGGTGAGTAAAACAGATGAAAAGTAATAGATGAAGAATAGTTTACCCTACTATTTAATAAAATTATGGAAACTAACGGCCCAGATGAGGAAACAAGGAAGATCTAATTACAAATCTACCCCTACACACCGCTCAAGCATTTTTGTTAATTTTCTCTAAATTTTCCATTTTATTTTCAATACAAAATCAACTTTACATTTCCATTTTACAACACCCATACCCCTTTGGTTTTAAAATAACAAAAGCTCCTCTCACGTTCAATCTCGCTCTCTCGCTATTCTGAACAAATCGCCGATTTTCATCAGGTGAATTCCGTTTCCAGATCTTGTTTTTCTTCGAAATCCGCTGATTATTCTACCGATGAAAAGCTCAGCTTGTATTTTCATTTCGTCGTTTATTTCTACGATTTTTTTATTGGAATGAGGTAGTACACTGTGGATTTGATCTGCATGCTCTTTTTAATTTTTAAATTATTTGTTGTTGCGATCAATTTTTGAGCTGTTTTTGGAGTTTTTTTAATATTTTCTTAGAATATATGAACAGGAAATGTTTGTTTTGTCATTTCGTTTTTATTGCGATTGAATAGGATATGTTTGTTTCTGGAATATTTAGGAGCACTGCTTTTGTGTTTCGAATTGGATGTTAAATGGTTATAGGCGATTTTAGGTGGAATTATGGTTTTGATATGAAATCTGATAATTAAGTTTTGAGAAAGAGTCGAATGTTCATTTGAAAAATATCTAAGGAATTTTTACTGTATGTTGTACGAGGAACAGGTTTAAGTGTGTTGCCATATTTTATTTTCTGGTTGTGAGAATCAATCATGAAAACCTTGTTTTTTGATTTGTTTATATTGAGTTAGCCATGTTGTTTTGTTGGTAGCAAGTTAAAAGGGAAAAAGTAGTGCAAAAACTTAGATTAATTTGTTGAGCAAAAGGCTTGGGAATATGAATGAAATGCTTGATAGGTTGAAACTTGCTTTGCTGAATTGTGCTAAATGATAGTTCTACAATGTTTGTATGTATTCGCAGATGGAGATGAAGCAAAAATTATCAGCTTTTGGGACTAATGAATCCACCACTGCAAGTTTGTGTGAAAGTAACTCTTTGACTAAGGGTGATTCTACAACAAATGGGCCTGTCAGTGATCAAAATGTAAATAACCCAACTAATGTTGGAGTTAGTAAACAAAACGAGGCTTCCAGTAACTCACATAGTGTTCCTTATATTTATCGACAAGATGTTGTCAAGAGTAATACAAGTGGTTCAGTTGGGATTGTGAGTGAAGTTGCTGGCGACTCAGATTCAGATGGAAGTGTAACTAATGATGAAGATGAAGATAATGAGAATGGAGAAGATGAAAGCGGTGATGTTGATGCCAATAGCAATGCTAATGGGAGTGGTGAGGGGAACAAAGGTGACCGTGAGTATAACTGTGGTGATCTTAAAGCCGATCAAATACGGGTACTATGGCTAGATGATACTGAACCAGTTCAAAGTATCAAGAATGTAACTGTTGTTGATAGGGGTTTCTTACATGGTGATTATATAGCTTCTGCTTCAGACTCGACTGGGCAGGTGGGTGTTGTGGTGGATGTCAATATCTCTGTTGATCTGTTGGCTCCTGATGGATCTACTATAAAAGATATTTCCACTAGAGACTTGCAACGTGTGAGGGATTTTGCTGTGGGTGATTATGTGGTTCTTGGTCCTTGGCTAGGTAGAATAGATGATGTTTTAGATAATGTCAATGTGTTGTTTGACGATGGCGCTGAGTGCAAAGTTATGAGGGCTGAACCGTTGCGTCTCAAACCAACTACCAGGAATACCCTTGAAGACGATAGTAATTTCCCATACTATCCTGGCCAGCGTGTGCGGGCAAGCTCTTCTTCTGTTTTCAAGAATTCTAGGTGGTTATCTGGCTTATGGAAGCCAAACCGGGTGCAAGGTACAGTAACTAAAGTAACAGCTGGATCTGTGTTTATTTATTGGATAGCATCTGCTGGCTATGGGCCTGATTCTTCCACTGCCCCGGCTGAAGAGCAGAATCCGAAGAATCTAAAACTATTGTCCTGTTTTACCCATGCAAATTGGCAAGTAGGTGATTGGTGTCTTCTTCCAACTTCATCGCAATCCATTCCTTTGGACAAGGGTTTTTCTAAACTGCAACGTAATGGTTCCATGAGAAATGGGAGAAATCGTGAATGTCTCTCAGAAGAGATGGATGAATCAAATGATAATATTGAATCCATGGATCTTGATGAAATGTCTACACCTGATGAAAGGAATGCAATTGTTGAAACTAAAGACAATGGAACTATAGACAATAAAGTCTCACCTGAATCTAGTTCTTGTAGCAGTTCAGTGTCAGTTTCAAAGGAGACTGTCCATGAGCATTGGCCCCTTCACCGCAAGAAGGTCCGTAAAGTTGTGATTAGGAAAGACAAGAAAGCAAAAAAGAAAGGGGATAATTTTGAAAGGGCTCTTTTAGTTGTCAATAGCAGAACAAGAGTTGATGTCGCATGGCAGGATGGAACAGTTGAACGTGGAGTGGATGCAACAAAGTTGATCCCAATTGAAACTCCTGGTGATCATGAATTTGTTGCAGAGCAGTATGTAGTGGAGAAAACCTCCGATGATGGTGATGACACATATGAACCTAGACGAGTTGGGGTGGTCAAAAGTGTTAATGCAAAGGAACGGACAGCTTGTGTAAAGTGGTTAAAGCCAGTTGCCAGGGCAGAGGACCCTCGTGAGTTTGACAAGGAGGAAATTGTAAGTGTGTATGAGCTGGAAGGACATCCAGATTATGATTATTGTTATGGTGATGTAGTAGTTCGATTACCCCTTGCTTCGTTTCGTGTGCAATCTGTTTCTGAAGAAGGCTCCCTTGAGGAACCGAAGCCTGAAGATGCATTGAAGGAGGTGAAACGAGACTTTAAAAAGAACTCAGGAAACAATGAAGTAGAAAGCGCAAAGCTGAATGACACTTTCATAGACTTCACAGATCTCTCTTGGGTTGGGAACATAACTGGCCTGAAAAATGGTGATATTGAGGTTACATGGGCTAATGGGATGGTCTCAACGGTAAACTTGTTGCCTTATTCTGTGAACTATTATTTTTTTATTTCTCTTTAGAGTTGTCATTGACTACCAAATTTTAAACTTTGCCTTTTTTTTTATCTGGTTTTCTATATTTATTACAGTGGTAATCTCTCTTCCCATCAATTGGCTGACATAAAACATTAGAGGCTCTTTATCTCGATGGATATTGTCATTTTGGTTGGGATGAAAGAACCTGTTCTGTCTTTTGTTCTACTGAGCAGTATTCCTTATGTATGCTTCCCAAAGGAGGCTAAATATAAGCATTATAACCTTAGAGAACGTTTGTGATGACATTTTTAGATTATCATAATCAGTAAATTTATCTTCCTTTTCTTGTAAACTATTTATATCTGCTTATTTAAGGAATATCTCAATTACTTGTATGTTCCCATTTTGTGATGATTACTGAATTATTTCATACTGTGCCTTTGTTCCCTGTGTAGGATTACAGTTTTTGTTTTGATAAAATGATCTTCTGGTTTGTTTAGGTTGGACCTCAAGCAATTTATGTTGTTGGTCGAGATGATGATGAGTCAATTGCTGCTGGGAGTGAAGTAAGTGATGATGCTGCTAGTTGGGAAACTGTTAATGATGATGAGATGGATACTCTTGAGAATGTTCAAGAGGTTTGTTTCTGTTTGAAACAATAGTATGATTGTCCATAAATTTAATTCAGTCAATACATCAACCTAACAATAGTATGGTCTTGGCACTTCATATTGAAACACATTTTTATGAGCCAGAATATGTTTGGAAAAAATATATACTTTTCCCTTGTAAGTTGTTGGTCTAGATGCCTTCTGCATGTACATGATCACTGACCCTCTTATGCACTCTGCTATTAAAACTATCAGTATATTATTATTTGATCTTAAATTCTAATAATTCATTTATTGCTCAGTTGAGTGAATGATATTATTTCTCGTTCAGGATCTCGAGTCACAAAAAACCAGTGGAATTGTTTCGGAAGCGGAAGAGGGTATGGAAAATAATTCTGGAAGGAATGCAATATTATCTTTCCCCTTAGCTGCAATTGATTTTGTCACCAGAGTAGCAATTGGATTCTTTTCAGGAAGACAGAAAAATGTTGATCCAACTGGTTTGGATTCTGAAGGAGAAAATGAGCGTGAGCCTGAGGGAAGTGATCCCAGCTATGAGTCTAGCTCACAGAAGTCTAATGTTATTGATAATTCCGGTGGGAAATTTGTCAGTAGAAATGGTCAGGAATATGTTGAAGTAGAGGCCAAGAAACATTCACTTCCAGGGGAAGATAAATGCAACTTGAGGATTGAAGACTCGGCTCCTAAAACAGGTGATGAGGATGATGGTTGCAGTTTCAAGCGGTTCGATACAGCTAAAGATCCTCTAGATCATTATTTCCTTGGTGCTAACGGACAGGTAATGACCTTTACATACTGGCGCTGGCAATTAATAACTTTCTTTTTTTACTCTAGTTTTATCATTAAGAAAATGAAATATAATCTTTGGTTACGGACTTGTCTTGTTATCATATTTTGATAAGGATCGTCCACTAATTTTATTGTACAATTTAGAATGCACACTAACATATTACAGCGCAAGTTTAGATTTATTGATATGTTGCCCGAGGAGATTCTAATATACTATTAGTGTCATTACTTACTATTAATTGCAATGTATGTACTCACCTGGTTGTTACTCCACCTTTGTAGTCCTTCCTTTTAGATTTTTGAGTCCTTCCACATTAATTATGCTTGCAGAATAATACCGGAAGGAAGTGGCTAAAGAAGGTTCAGCAAGATTGGAACATCCTTCAGAACAACCTGCCAGGTAATTATTGTGTGGTCTAGTAGGCATATTAAAAGGATTCTGGTCATTTGCTATATCAAGCTTTGTTTTAAGCACTTGTAACTATTTAACAGATGGAATCTATGTACGAGTATACGAGGATCGGATGGACCTCTTGAGGGCAGTAGTAGTTGGGGCATATGGGACACCTTATCAAGATGGTCTTTTCTTCTTTGATTTTCACCTTCCTCCTGAGTATTCTGATGTGCCTCCGGTATGATTCCAAATTTGATTACTTAAAGCTTGAAATTTGTTTCTCCTTCATCTCTTGAAGTTCAGAGAATTTAACTTATGAAATTTTCGAATTGTCTTTAATGTGTTACTGATTTTTCTTTGACCGGGGTTTTTTATTCTGCAGTCAGCATACTATCATTCAGGTGGTTGGAGGCTAAATCCTAATCTATACGAGGAAGGCAAGGTGTGCCTTAGCCTTCTAAACACATGGACTGGCAGGGGAAACGAAGTTTGGGATCCATCGTCTTCGAGCATACTTCAAGTCCTAGTTTCATTGCAAGGGTTAGTGCTAAACACGAGACCATATTTCAACGAAGCTGGGTATGATAAGCAGGTTGGAACAGCTGAAGGAGAGAAAAATTCTTTGGCATACAATGAGAATACTTTCTTACTGAACTGCAAGTCGATGATGCACCTAATGCGGAAGCCTCCAAAGGTGATTATTCCATTTCACGTGTACTTTCTCATTATCGAGTTGCTCTTGCATTGGTAAATAGGTAGTTATCAACCTAATATTTCGGAAAGGTTGGATTCACTCTTTAAGTGTATTTTCATTATTTTTGGGGCGTAATTAAACGTGTAACATCCAAACCACAAGGGGTAAGTGGAATTTACTCTGGAATTCGAGTGACGTAGTACAAGTCAAATTTTTTATGTTTTCATCTCTTTTCTATATTAAGTTTTTTTGGTTAATTTTCCCCGTTGTGCTTGATTTTATATCTAATTTGTTGTAGTGATTTCCATACATTTTTTCGAGATATATGTTAAACTTCATAATTATCTCTAGGACTTTGAAGAACTTGTCAAAGACCATTTCAGACGACGTGGTTATTACATCCTTAAAGCCTGTGATGCATACATGAAAGGCTTCTTAATCGGCTCTCTAACTAAAGATGCCTCCATTAACGATGCGAACGACGCGGACTCCAATTCAGTTGGCTTCAAGTTGATGTTAGGCAAAATCTCGCCAAAGCTTTTATCGGCACTTAGCGAGGTCGGAGCTGATTGTCAAGAATTCAAGCATCTCCAGCAGTCATCATAATGGTATGGGGTTTCCCCCCAAAAGACAAGACTCGTTATCACCATCATGGATGCAACAAAAGGTCAGTGCTGGAAATTTCGATGTAAATTACAAAGTCCCCTTTTCTTGTGATTTTGAAATTCTTTTTAACTAACTTAGAATGTTCAAAATTTTCTTCTTTTACTTGAATTCTTTCCGAGTGAATTTTGGTTTTAATTTCTTGTTTTTTTTCTCTGATTTTCTTTTAGATCCCTAGGAAATAGGAATGGGGAAGACAGTCAGGGTTTTGGATTGACTGTTGAAATCAAATGATAAAATTGATTTTCTTGTTCATGGACTCTGACATGAATATTACCATGTTAATGGTTTATCTGATTAGTTTTTTTTATTCTTATAATCTTTTTTTTTCCTGATACACAGAGAGGATGTTAACCGGATTTGAGATGAGTGTCGAATATGAGAACGATGTAACACGAACAAGAGTATGTTTATGTTCGTTCGTTTAACATTAACCGAACAAACGAACAGATTAAAACAACTATACGAACGAAGCTTCTTGTCTGTGTTCGTTCATTAATGATTGTAGTTTGTTCGTGTTCGTCCATGTTAATTCATTAAAATGATAAACGAACACAAATGAATTAACATAAACGAAATAAAATAAATTGGATTTATATTTGAGAAGAGTTTTTTTCTTTCTAAATAATTTTAGGATTTATATTTTCTTATTTTTTTTATTTGGGTTTGAGATTAATTGAATTTTGAAATATTAATGAGTTTAGGTTAAATTTTATTAGATTTTCTTTTAAATGGGTCTGTAGACAGGGTTGAATGTAAATGAACATAAATGAATAGATATAAACGAACATTAATGATCGGGTTATCAAACATTCACAAACCCGAGTCCATTGTTTGCATTCGTTCATTTAATTAAAGGAACATAAGATCTTGTTCATGTTAGCTTGTTTAATAAAAAAACGAACTTCTCGTCGAATGGTTCGTTGAATGCTCGGTTCTTTTACATACTAATGACGTGAATATCGATTATGAATACAAGTAAATATGGAAAGATTTTCAAAATTTGATTGATATCATTAATATAAAAAATTATTTCACGAATTTTTTCCATTGTATAATCAATGGACCTAACCAATTAAAAAGAATCGCATCAATTTTTTTGTTCACGTCATTTACACATTTTATTTTCCAAATCAATTTCTCCAACAATACCTATCAAAACTTTGAATATCGTCGTAGAAATTCATCTGTCTGTAACTCAAATGAAAGAAAAGCATAAAGGAAAATTATCATAATTTTGTGTTGCATAGGGAAGAGAACTTGAAATTTTAAATTGAGATGAGATTGTTAGAAATAGAGATTAAAGCAAGTGGCTGTTTCTTTTACAGGGTGTTGAATGCTACATGTATGATTCTTCCCTCTAAATATAATTATTTTGAACGTTTTAACTTGTAATCGTGATAATCATGCAGTTCATGGATGATGTCTAGAGAAAAACAAAAACACATTTTTCTTAATATCAAAGGAATGGTAATTGGTGCATGATCTAACTTGAGATATCCAAATGTTGAAGAAGTGCTTCAGCAATCTTTCAAACAAAGGAGAAACACAGGGTGCATGATCTAACTTAATATCAAATGAATTTGAGGGTGAAAAAAGAAACTTTAGAGGAAGAAAAATAAATTAATAAAGAATTTTAAGAAAAACCCCTTAAATTTAAGCTTTAATTTTAATATACATTAACAAAAAAATAATTTTAAAAATAAAATCCTTATATATAAATGATTTGAAAAGAAAATATCGATGTGAATTCTTTTAATTAGTTGAAATCATTAATGACAAGTGAAAATAATCCATGAAATATTCTCCGTGTACAATATATAGGAGGACGATTGATCGAGTAAGTTTAGGCGTTAAATATTTTTGATGTATTATCAATATATATACATGGTCAGGATTTACTCATCAAATATATGTTTCCATATCATTAGATTAATTGAGTAACGATTAAAATTTAAGTGAATAATCTTCTTTTTCATAAAAAAATCTTCATTTATTACAATTAATTTTAACATTCATTTTCACTCATTTAATAATTTAAAAAAATTAAATACCAAACAATTATAAAATTATTGAAGAATAATCATAATTTTGTGAATTTAATAAATATTAAAACGACAATAACCATAATTTTATGAATTTTAATCAAATTGAAAAATGTTGTTTCCTGAAATAACACGATCTTATTGACCGACAATCTTTTAAGGTACTTCGAAAATATTTATTAACACTAGTAACTGAAACGGATTTAAGCCATTAAAAATGAATAGACTATAAAACTGGAATACCGTGCGTCATCAAACACTACCAAATCCTGCTTTTCCTAGGCAAATAAAGTTCAGACATGAATGACAACGTCCCAATCCCATAGACGTATTGACCCATAAGCATTCACAGTTTCGACACATTACTCGAGTTTCGGGAGAACAATGATCTTAACTCGGAGAGAAATCGGTGAGAATCGCCCCACACATTGACCGTTAATGGCATGTAGATTTTCATTTGTCATCTTTAGGTTTCTGCTCATCTTCATCCTTCTTTTGTTGTGACTGGTAGCAGGTAAAAATTATGATGACAGATTAGTTAACTATTAAGACAATGATCTAAAACACTACATACATATCATGTTAGGTTATGCTGAGTTTAATGAAACCAACCTCGGATTGGCCCGGCAAAGATGCTAGCAGATCTCTCACATTTGGGTCGTTTGGGTCGACCCCTGGAAGCTGTAAAAGTCGTAACACATAAGAATATAGGCAATCAAAGGAGAAACTGATTGTGGGTTTAAAGAGGAGAAATCAATTCAGACTTACTGATGAAAGAATGGATGACATAAAAGACTGATCTCCCAAAACTTTGCTCACATCTGATGGAGCTGATGAATCTTTAGAACCGTCCTGCATGGACATCTGAAGTGCTGTGTAGAAGAAAGTTTGGGATTTAGTTTAGAAATGGATGATATAGATCCATGCATTCGGCTATATTTATATATCTACTTGTAAACTTTTAAGTGTACAAACTAAGCCTAGTATAGTTCAAGTATTGGGAAAGACTGGATTTGTGGGATTTAGTAATGTATAAATATTGTGGACTATCCAGACACCAATACAGACACTGCACTCGCTGGGACCATCTACGTGAAACAGAACCTACGGAATTATTTTCTAATTCTTCAAAAAAAAAAATTTGTAGATCATTTATACCATAGGAAAGAAAAGGTTAGTAGATGCAAGTATCCACCTTAAGTTAAAACAACCAACAAAATAAAAGGACATACCCAAGGCCAATTCCTGATCGTCATTAGTTGCCTCAGACATTTGAGCATCACCTGCAGAAGAATCAGATCCAGGGATATTCATTGACAATGCAAGGGCCTGCTTTAGCAAAGCATCATCCTCATCCTGCCATAACATCAGTTAGCAAAACCCAATTCGAAACTCGAGTTATATTGTCGAGTGTTAATAGATAGTAATTTGTGGAATGGTAAAATATATTGACTTTAAGGTAATACTTACCATTGGATCAGAAATTTTTTCAGTAGCAGCCAAAGTTGCATTTTTAGAATCAGACTGTGGTTGGGCTTCCTCTCCTGTCTCTTGTCTACTGGCTTCTTCAGCAGCTCTCTTGGCAGTAGCTTCTTGCCTTGCCCTCTCCTCTTCCATGGAAACCCTTAGAGCAAGAGCCAGCTCTGGATCTATATTTGGATCCACACCAAAATCAAAGTCAGAAACACCACCAGCTGCAGCTGCTGCTGCAGCAGCAGCAAAGCTGCTTCCTCCTTCCCCATCCCCAGTGAACACAGGCGTGCTAGCATAGAAATCAAAAAGTAATATCATTCACACAATCACTATTAGGCAAGCAGCATAAGCTAAGAGGCATGAACTGATAGTTTCCTACTCAATTGTGTGTGTGTGTATTCTGAAGAAACCAAATACTTGGGGAAAATAAAGAATCAGAAGGAACCAAGTAAAACCTGATAAGGACATCAGATAGTGCATTTTGACCAGGAGGGATGTGAACTATGTGACTAGTGTCATTGTTATTAACAGATGCAAGAAGAGCCTCCAATGTTTCTGGTTTTCCATCTTCTTCCTCACCAAAATCGACAATATCAAGAGCTACGCTGTTCTTCTTCAGCTTCTTTCCAATTATCTCCAATGCCTTCTTTTCATGCTTAATAGGACTGAGAGCATAGAGCATATGAAAAAAAGGGTCATATTCAAACTTAAGTAAACAAACAAATCAAAGGCCAACATGAAATACCTTCCAGCAAAAACTATAATCCTTTGCTGCTGATTTTTGTTTTGGCGATGCTTCAGAGCCAACTGAGCAATCTGAATTCCAGCTGCTAGGTTCATCTCACCCCCCATTTCAAGACCTGTGAAATGCAATGCAATGTATACAGAATGGAGGTGAAGATAATGATGTAACTGATAGAAAGGAAGGAAGATGACTTTCATTTCAGAAATACGTAAACAAAATATTATAGATTAATCATAAGCTATATGCTGATTTTGCATAAAATGATAAACTACACTTAAAATAACCCCTGAACTCCACCAGAAAGGACAAGTTCTCCATTTGTAAATTCAAAAGTTAATGTTGCTCGGACTCTTCATTTTTCTTGAACTATCTATCTCTGACGCTTGTGTCAGACATATGGATAAGAGGATATGACATATAGCCGTATCCGACACTCACACACGTCCTAGTAACAAAGCTCTAAAGTAAACAAAATTACAAAAAATGTCTCTTTTACAAAGGCTAGCAAACATGGGTCTCACACAGAACTGCATGCTTATATTCGTATGACCCAAATAGCAAGCCATAAAACTATTAATGCTGGTTCTTATTCAATGAATATGAAAACTTTTCTATAGCAAGCCGTAAAACTATTAATGCTGGTTCTTCTTCAACGAATATGACAAATTTTCTACTGACAAGCAAACATTGATTTTAAATCTGATTTTCCAACACCAGAATAAAAACAAGCCACATAAAGAAATCCAACTTGCTTAATCTTTATATTCCATAAAGATAGTAAAATGGCAAATCAAAGCACAAGCTACCATGGGGTACATGGAGTTCTTTCAACAAGAATTAATCTATTGCCACAAGTAGTTCAAAGAACACTAAACTTAATCTCCAAACATGACTAAAGAACTAACTCAATGTTGAGAGGGAATAGGTGAAGCATAAGTACCGTGCATGCAAGACAAGATTTTTCCGAGATCACTGGTAGGAGTAGCCAATACACGAACTCCTTTCCCCGCCATAGTCAAAATCCCAACCGTGTTCTCCGGATTAGACTGCCATTATTTTAATAAACAAAATCAAACTCCCAATTCTCATAATCAGAAAGGAAAACCTAGCTTAATCTTACATTCACTAAATAGCTTCAGAAAAAGAAGAAATTTTTACCTGGGTTTTAGCTCCACAGATAAGACTAACGGCGTCAGCTTGGGCTTGAAATCGAGACGGAGAATAGTCGCTGTTTCGCATCCATTCCGAGTTGTCAATGCATATCATAGTAGCCTAAATGATTGGTTCGGAAAAAAACAAAGAGAAAATCGATGAAACCCTAATTCGAGAAACGTATAAAGATGATTGAAGGAGAAGATCAAGGAGGAATGTTGTAGAATAGTTTACCTCGAGAACCATGGCTGCAAAAGCGACGAGTAGGCTTGGAAGAGAAGAAAAGGAGTAGAAAAAATAACAAGCCCATGTGTTTGTTGATTTGCTTATATAATGAAGTTTGAGGGTTTCCGGTTTTGGCCAATGAGTTATAAAAAATATATATTTTTATAACACTAATTTCTTTCGAATTCATTTTAATCACTTAACCGTTAATTATTTATCGACTTGATAATTTGATGTTTTATTTTAAAAAAAAATAAAATTTTCTTCTATTATTGACACTATTCTCGATATAATTGATATTAAAATCTTATGTTTTCTCTTTTGTTTCGTTTTCTTAAATTAATTTTCATCGAAATTCATTCAAAATCAATAAAAATCAACTCAAAATTTTAATATTGGTCTAATTTCCATCGACGATCATTCGAAAAGATTGATTTTAAAATATATTTTCCTTCTCCTCATATGAATACTTATCACCATTAGAATCTTCGAACGAACATGCAGAGCCACCCAAGGTAATTATATGTCATGTCCACATCTAGGGGTGTAAATGAATCGAGATTGAACGAATAATGTTATGTTTGTTTAATGTTCGTGAACATGCCCATTTATATTTTCATGAACTTGTTCATTTATCATTCGTTGTTATGTTCAATTTTTAGTTTTACCCTTTCAAGCTAAAAATGATAAAATTACGCCACTAGTGCTTAAACTCTTTGAAATTTGCAGTTTAAATTTAATTGTTTATCATTGTTTAATTTAGTCACTACCTTCACCGATATTTAAAATGTTTAAAAAAATAAAATGAAAACCGGGTAAACGAGCTTGTTCAATAATATAAATAAACGAGTTTATAAAAGAGCTCATAAATGAGCTTGTTCGTGAACATAAACAAATCGAACACACATTTGTTATTGTTCACTCATTTACATAATTTTTTTTGTTCATACTCGTTTATTTAGCTTAACAAACGAACAGTTCACCAAATGTTTTGTTCATTTACACACCTAGCCACACCAGTAATTTTAGCATATGAGAAATGTCACGTCATCAACATACGTTAATTGTTGGTCAACTAACGGGCTCCATCAACGTGTTATTTCGATCAAAAATTGAAATGTTAAGAGTTAAAATGCTCCAAAAAAAGAAAAAATAGCATTCAAATTAACCATTCGAACAAATATTAAAGATTAATTTTAACATTATACTTTTCTTAAAAAAATTAGACAACAATTTTAAAAAATATAGTTTAGGTATCAATTAGATAATTAAGTCATTTTTCTATTAGTCCTTATACTATACGTAATTTGTGATACTTAAACTTGAAATTTGTAGTTTTAATAAATTTTTAATTTTAATCTTAACTCAAACGATAACAATTAAATTTATAAAAAGAGTTATCAAACTAACCATTCTTAAAAATCGCATCCAAAGTGATTATGTAATCTTAAAATACATCAAATAAGTCCTTTGATTAATAGAATCTATTTTTTATTGTTTTAATATCGACGTGATTGTTAAGTTTACTAATTGCTTCAGTAAAAATAATAAGATAAAAATACTTCACAAACAACATGTATTTTATTTTATTTCGTAAAAATCGATAATTTGTCGTTCAACATAATCATCTTACTCGTTAATTTTGATAAATTACCAAACTTTTAATATCAAATTGTTAGGAAGAAATCGAACAAATTAAAATAACATGAAAGTATAACCGATGTTTTTTCTCTCTCGAGAATACAATAATAAGTTATGAAAAGTAAATATATTAAAATACATCCAAATGTGATGCAATCAACTAAAAGCAACTACAATAAGCACAAATAATAAAAGACGAGACACATGATTTTCATATAAAGTTCCTTTAAAAATAAATGGTGAAATTACGAGATTTGAAAGTCCATTAAAAAGCTCCACGAATAATAAAAGTATCTTTTTATCACTACATCAAAATTGTTATACAACGGCGTTTTTAGCGGCGTTTTGACAGTAAACGCAACTAACTTTAAACATATAGTGGTGTATACATTCCAAACGCCACAAAATGGTAACTATAGCTGTATTTTTATACAAAACGTCGCGACAAAGTAGTACTTTAGTGGATCTTGTATAAAAATGTCGTAATAGGGTTTATCTATAGTGTCATTTTTTCAACAAACGCCGCAACAGAGTAGTACTTTAGCAGCGTTTTTATACAAACGCTACAATAGGTTATACATAGTGGCGTTTCTCAATAAACGCCGTGACAGAGTAGTACTTTAGCGGCGTTTGTATAAAATGCCGCAATAGGGTTCATCTATAGTGGCATTTTTTAAACAAACGCCGCAAAAGAGTAGTACTTTAGTGGTGTTTGTATAAAAATGTTGCAATAGGGTTCATCTATAGTGGCATTTTTTCAACAAAAGCCGCAAAATAGTAGTACTTTAGCAGCGTTTTTATACAAATGACGTAATAGGGTTCATTTATAGTGGCGTTTTTTTCAACAAATGCCACAACAGAGTAGTACTTTAGCGGGTTTTTTTATACAAACTCCGCAATAGGGTTCATCTATAGTGGCATTTTTTAAACAAACGCCGCAACAGAGTAGTTCTTTAGCGGCCTTGTTTTACAAACGTCGCAATAATTTGGTATGTTTGGGTTTAAAAACATCGCAAATTTTAAAATTTTTATCTCCCTTCAGCTCGATCTAACCTTTTATTTTCCCTAACCTTTTCTGTTTCCCGTCGATCTCACCTTTTATTTTCCCTACTGCTTCCCTAACCTTTTCGGTCCCTATTTGCTTCGGTCCCTTCATCGTTTGTAGTTTGTTGTTTGGTGGCAAATCTACTCCTTTTTCCCTTCCTTTAAGGATGATCCTAGGTTTTCTCAACGCGGCTCCAAGATCTCTCTTTTCGTGCTCATTCTTGTCACCATTGTCGGATTGATCTCTATTTTCTCAATCTTGCATCGATTAGTAAGAGAGCGATTGAATTTAGGTGAAGAACTTCAGAGTTGATGAGCTGATGGAATTTTACAAGGTAAATCTTCATAAAGCTTATTTGTTGTGCTCACCTGTGAAGTTGTTTTATTAAGCAATCAGTATCTTGGTACTTCTATCTGTATCTTCTGCACTTGTTTCTCCTAATTTTTAGATAGGATTTGACTAATTTATTTCAATGGAGGGCTATACTAAATATGTTCTACTAACACGTAACAGTCAGATTTGAAGTTGAAGAAGTTCTTGCACATTATTGAGAATTCAAGTGTGCTCCCTGTCATTTATGACCGCAACAGGTATGTGTGTTCTTGGTAATGTGCATCTGATTATTAGTTTTAGCCTTTGTGTTTAGCAATCAATTTCACTTTTAACTTAAAGCTGCTTAACCTTCTGCCAATATTTTCTACTTTTCAAGTGTGTATTTGTACATCATGTATTGTTAGGTTTAAAAATACTGAAATGCACCAGGATGACCTTTCTGTTTTTCTTGTCTTTATACGTAACTGTTTTGTCTTTACCGCCAATTATTAATGGTGCACACTCAGCAATCACTTTGAAGACAAAAAATGTCTTCATTGAGTGCACAGCAACCGATCTAACAAAGGCTAAAATTGTTTTAAATACAATGGTAAGGAGTTGAGTACTGTTAGCTTCTGTTCTCACCTTTATAAGTGGGGGTAAGAACAAACATTTCCTTCTATCTACAGGTGACCACTTTTTCGACCTACTGTAAAAGGAAATTTGAGGTGGAACCGGTTGAAGTCATATCATTTGATGGAAACTCAAGTGTTTATCCAGATTTATCAGAATATAATATGGAAGTTCCACTATCATATATTACTGGTTACATTGGAGTTCCTCTGGAAGCAGATGAGTTAATGCTTTCATTTTCTTTATGTCTCTTATTTCTTTGTTATCTTTTATGTTAAGTTTGTTCACTGAACTGCTCACTCATATAAAGGTGAGGAAGAGCATTGAGTGAGGTTACATTAGTCTGATATGGTAATAGTCATAGTGTCATGTATCTGTTTGTTCTGATGGCATCATTGGTGGCATTCTACTGTTAACATTGTTCAGTTTATATAGTTTCATAACCTGCATGTTGTAGCTATTCTTAATATGTTCTTCCATTGTTGCCGCTAAACAGGTCACTAATCTATTAAAACGAATGCAATTGAATGCTGAAAGAGCTGGATCAGGTACCTCCTATATCAGTGTGTCTGTACCTCCAACCAGAAGTGACATTCTTCACCCATGTTATGTTATGGAGGTAATGATCGAAGGAATAGTATTTCACGGATGCATTTTTGAGGTGTTAAATCGGAAGGAAGACAAATCCACTGCGGTGATCATTGGAAATCCCGGCTCTTCTGATTTTGAGGTTTGTATTTTCATTTTAGAATATATGTATAAGATTATTTCAACATTCCAGCTTTCTGGGTTCCTCCTACCGTGTCTGTGCCAGAGCTGTAATTTTAGACCGCTTGAGAACTAGTATTAGTTTTTATGATTTTGTTCAACCTTTTTTTTTTGTCAAGACTTCTTGAAATATTGTGCATGGCCTTATTTTCTACAATCAAATTTATTTTTTAAATGACTGGTACTTAAAAATCGAACAGACAATTGAGGAGTCCATTGTTGCTCTCTATAGATAAGTGTTCAACATTTGGTTCATTTGAAGGATGAGGGGGAAAAGGACGAGAAAAAAAAGACATAGGAATATTAGTTGTTCCGTGTTTTTACTGGAAGCCTTTCATTGGAACTCCTAATTGAAGGTTGCTTATTCTGTTTGCATAGGTGGTTCATACAAGTCTTATGCCTGGCATGCTAAAGACCGTTGGACATAACAAAGACCATCCAAAGCCCATAAAGGTACAATTTTGGTTTTGAATTGTTCAGGTTGAAACACTCTCAGAATATAGCATTATGGACTTACTTTTTTGAATTGTGGCACCTTATCTAATATGTGGATTTACATGATGTAGTACATATCATGTTTTTTCTTCTAGTTTATCTTCTTGTAATATATTATCTATGAATCCATTGTTTTCATTGTTGTTTGAATTGAAGATACATTCCTGATGAAAAGAATCAACTGAAGTTGCAGATCAATACAAATTGCTACTAGAAGATTGTTTTTTATTCTACTGAATAATGTTTTTTTATTGAAAGAGAAAGAACTTGGACTAAATTCTAGTTAACAATGTTGAACTATGTTACATTTTAATGTAATTTTATAAATTTTGATTTATTTTTCTACATAATTTGTGTTGTAATTAAATTTTTTAAGTGTATTGTTATTAAATAATGCTATAGAATATTAAATCTGCGTAATATAAAGTAAAAAATGATATATGCGAAATCATTTAACTATAGCGGCGTTTGTAAATAAAAGCCACCAGAAGTCAGGTTCTTTTGCGGCGTTTTGTGAAGAAAACGACACTAATGACCACACATTTGCAACGTTTGTTAAAAAACCACTATATACATAGTTAATAGCGGCATTTTTACCATAAACACCGTTAAATATCATAACATGTAGCGGCGTTTTAGAAAACAAACGCCACTAAAGACAAGGTAATTAGTAGCGTTTTATAGAGCTGGACCTTTTGCAGCATTTTTTGTTTACAAACGCCGCTACCTTTTGCGGCGTTAGTTTTAACGGCGTTTTTACATACGTTGAGAAAGTTTTTAGCTACGCTAAAAAATGCCACTATAGAGCTAAAAAAACGCTGCTAAAAACCTATATTGTTGTAGTGCATAAAATTATAATACCAAGTTTCAATGATGGGTATAAACATGTTGCAAAATGTCACCCTAAACAATTATTGACATTGAATTAAAATCCTAAAATTATGATATTATAGATGAAAATTTTGATCATATAAAACCTAAAAAAAATTAAATCTTTTAAACATCATTTAAAGATCAACTCAATCGAACATAAATAAATCATTGATCATAAAGTTGACCAAAAGTTCTCATAGAAATAAAAATTAATTTTTAAATTTAAAGACGATATCTTAATAAATAAGATGAATATCTTAATGAATCTTAGTAATGAATCACAGTCACTTTGTACTCAACAATAGAATTGCGAAGGGTGCTATTTCTGAAGTAAGTCTTAAGCTGTGCAAACCCTTTCGCCATCCTGAACTTTCCTCTCCCTCCGCCCACCGCTAGCTCACGTTCTGTTTCCGTGATCGGATTCCTCGAGAACATACTGATGGAGCTGCCGTTGAATTGACCCTTCATGAACCCAAAGTCCAAGTACACCATTAGAGTCAAAACGTCTCTTCCGGTCGACACCCAGAGGCCTTGAGCGTTTCCGATGACCTCTGACGTTATGTTGGGTCCAACAGTGAGCGGATCATCAACGACTATCACCTCGCCAAAGGGCACCGATGCGGTCGTCATGTTCGGACGGGCTACAATGACCGCGCTAGGGTTTTGGCCGCTCAAGGTGTCGTGTAAAAAGAAGTGGAGATGGGTTAGTTTTTGTGGAGCCGGAACATATGGCTTGGTCTTGGAGTAATAGCCGTGGGGAGGAGCCATTGCCATGGCCTTGCCGAGGACCAGAATCCAGGCCAATATCAAACTCTTCTTCATTGGTAATGGGATTTAGCTACTGTGATAATTTTTTTTTTGGCCAAAATAAATTGAAAATCACATTTCAAGTTTAACTCCGAACAACACAAGATAATAACATAACAGAACTGTCTTTCAAATCCAAAAACAAAACGAAAACAGGAAAAAGCTTAACCTAGGCGGCGAGCACAACAGCACCACCAGCCTCCTTAATCTTCTTCTCGGCAGTCTTGGAAACCAACTTAGCCTTAACCACGATGGGTTGGTTCTCGGGCAAGACACCTTTTCCAAGGACCTTAAAGTAGCCGTACTGGGTCACGTCGACCATCGGGGCGGCATCCTTATTGGCTTTGGCCTTCACGTCTTGCGGGACGAGAGACCAGAGCTTGTCGATGTTAATGATGGGGCAGTAGAACTTGTTGCGGAGCTTGTGGAAGTACCTCATACCGACTTTCCCGAAATACCCGGGGTGATACTTGTCGAAGAGGATCCTGTGGTGGTGCATGCCTCCGGCGTTACCGCGACCTCCCGGATGCTTGCGGTGCTTGCCTATACGGCCGTGTCCGGCGCTCACGTGGCCGCGCTTCTTGCGGTTCTTCTTGAAGCGGGTTGTCATTTTCTGGATCGGTGAGCAGCTTAGGGGAGGGGAAATTAGGGTTCAGAGCGGCTGCGAGAGTAGATACTGTGATAATTGAATGGCTTATTGAACCCTAGTTTATATATAGAGACAAAATTATACTAATAATAAGGGCTGCAGATCGAAGATACCTATTTTCAATATTAAAATGAAGTCAATTTGATCTAATAGGACGAGTGTTAAATTTATTAAACGACATTAATTATTCGAATCATATTAAAGTGAATGAAAATTTTATTAAAAATCATCTCAAAATAATCAATCTTTAAAATTCTTAATTCAAATTAATCTCACAATAAATTAAATTAATTATTATGAATTTAGCTATGGTTAATTGTGTTTTTTATTAGTTTAAAATAAATATAAGATATTATATATTCAAAATATTTTCAATTATATGACAATAAACACTCATCTACCTTAGCGATCAAAACCTTAGAAAATAATAATAATCCAATAACCACTTGGATCATTTGCTTACATTTATAAATGTGTTTGAATTTTGAGCGAGTGGAGCTTTTGTGAGTCATTTTTTTATTCCCTATTTAACAGAATCTTGTCTTTGCGTGCTCTTGTAAGAAACGAACTAATATCTTTGTACACAATTTGGCTTTAGAAAAACTTGATGATAATAATAATATAAGGGTAAACTATATAATTGGTCACTCCTGTTTTATAAATGCTCACTTTTTGTCACCAACTTTTAAAGAATAATATTTTGATCACTTAAGTTATCTATTTGTAATGTTTTTATCATTTATTATTGATTTATAACATTTTAGTTACTGAAATGTTAAATGCATGACACGTTAGTAAAATGAGTTATTTTTTTAATTTGATCCTTGAATATTAGATAAAATATCAAATGAATCCGATCTAAGTCTTCCACCACCAATCACTTCTCACCATCATTGTCGATCATTATCGGCTGCCATCACCGATGAATATTGGACCTTAAAATTTGCATGTCTCGTTTTTTTACTTTCTGAACACAAATATGATGTATGTTTCATCGAATAATATCCTGAACTGTCATGAACTTCATTCTAAGAAATCATATTTAGTTACCTCTTTGAGATCAACCTATTCTTTGGTCACAATTCCTGTATTTATATCATAAACCATGGCATGTCGTCCCTGCCACAAAGAAAATAAATAATATGGATGATGAGTTGCTTCTTCAGCAGGTTCATAAAGTCAATGCTTCAAGCATTTGATCCATGGTTTTAAAGCAGCTACCTAGTTAGCATCCAAAGAAGAAAGCTTAAGAACTAGTAACATGAGAGATTCTGAAACCTGTACTGCACTAGCAATGTTAATAGAAGTTATCGTCTGAGATGTCTTCTGTTTCTTACGTGATGATGAAGCTGCTGGACTAGGTAAAGGACTGTGAACTGGATGAGATACACTTAGTCTTGCAGATTTGTTCCCATCTGCTTGTCTTTAGTTTTTGCTGGCATTGTCATAGTATAAGTCATAAAACATAATAGAAGACAAGCACTAACTAAGCCACCTCAGTTGTTAAGGGATTTAGGTCTTAAGGTTCTGGGTTCGAGCAACGAGTATGAAAGAGAGTGAGCGTTCATCGTCAACTGGTTGATAATATTTAAACATATATTATCTTGTATTCACCCCAGACTTATACAAAAAAATAATAAGTTAAAGGATTATGGGTTAGATATATGGAGCTTGTAGCATTTTCCAATGAAATAGACATCATATTCGTTTTTAGGAGGTCAAAAATGAGTGAATCAAAAATTTTACGATCCAACGATCGTCGACAACGGTAGTCGATGGCAATCAATAGCGATTTACTACCGACAGTGCGAAGGAATTTGATTGAATTCATTTCATATTTTATCTAAAGTTTAAGGGTCAAATTGATATTTTATCTAAAGTTTATAGGTCAAATTAGTATTTCATCTAAATTAAAGGGTGCCAAATTAAAAATTAACTTGTTTTACTAACATACCATATCATCAAGCTAACGGTATTTAACATTTGAGTGACCAAAATATTATTAATCAATTATATAAGTGACTAAAACGTTATAAATGACAACATAAGTGGCCAAAATATTACTTTCCTAAATACAATGACAAAAATGAAAGATTATAAAACTAAAGTGACCATTTCAATAGTTTAAACCTGGGATCCATTATTGAGATTGAAGAAGACAATTAGGAATTGTTTGTAACCACTATTTGGAATATGGTTAGATGTTTCAATAATGGTTGCTCTATCATATTAGAATTTGGTTTATTGGTATGGAAAGTTCTTATAAAATATAAAACAAGTCAACTGACTATTTATAAAAAAAAATTTAATTGAATCACAAATCAAATTATTTCAGCGGTTAAAATTAGAATTTTTTTATAGTTTTATACATCTTTTATTAATAATTCTATTTTATGTATATTCTCAAACAAAACAAGAGTTCTTAAAAAAATTTTAAATAATAATAAAAAACTATATCGTTTTGATTTCATCCAAAAATTTATTATTTATGGTAAATTATATTCGTGATCTCTCAAATAAAAATTAAATTGCCAACCATTAATATTTATTTTCCTGAATAGTATGGGTTGACTACACGGTAGTATATGTTTAAAATTAATCTATTGGCAACGCACACACATCTTACAGATGTAGTTGCTCAAACTTATATATTCTAGAAGAACAACATTTATTTTTACCATTGAGACCATTCAATGAGTATCGACCATTAATATTTAAAGTAATGTTTTTTAATATAATTATATATTTGATCTTTGTTATTTATAAATTTTATAAATTTGATCATAACTTTAGTTTAATTTAATAAATTTAATCATCGTTAATAAAAAAATAAATAAATTTAATCTTCTAATTAATGACACATGTCATAATATAATTGGAGAAAAATAAATTTAATATTCTAATCATATGACGACACGTGACGTAACACAATACAAATAAACTTAAAATATTCAAACCTTACATAATTAAATTAAGAATAAATATAATTTTAAAATTATTTACACGAAATTGTTCAAAAAATTTAAAATTTAAAATAAATATTATTTTATTTGACCCGATTAAAACTTAATCCGGTTGTACATACAAGTAGACATGAAATAAACTCAATACAAGGGGATAATCTTTGGATTAAGTTAGCAAAAACCCGACGAAGTATCAATAAAGGACCAAATGGAATAAACAACATAATAAGATTAGGCAAGTTGTCATCTTGCTAATGGATCACAGTCACCTTATACTCAATAATGGCGTCGCCGGTAGTGAAATTCGCGTAGTAAGTCTTAAGCTTAGCGTACCCCTGCGCCATTCTGAAATAAACTCAATACAAGGGGATAATCTTTGGATTAAGTTAGCAAAAACCCGACGAAGTATCAATAAAGGACCAAATGGAATAAACAACATAATAAGATTAGGCAAGTTGTCATCTTGCTAATGGATCACAGTCACCTTATACTCAATAATGGCGTCGCCGGTAGTGAAATTCGCGTAGTAAGTCTTAAGCTTAGCGTACCCCTGCGCCATTCTGAACTTTGCCCTCCCTCCGACCACCGCGAGTTCGCGCTCCATTTGGCTAACCTGGTTCCTCGAGAATATACTGATGGAGCTGCCATTGAATTTACCTACCGTAAACCCGAAGTCCATGAAGACCGTAAGACACGAACCGTTTCGGTCAGTCGACGCCCAGAGGCCTTGAGCGTTCCCGATGACACCTGACGTTACGTCGGGACCGACAGTGAGCAGATCATCGGTCGCTACCAAGAAGCCGAAGGTGTCGTTGGAGGCGGTTGTCATGTTCGGACGGGCTACTATGACTGCACTAGGGTTTTTGCCGCCCATGGTGTCCTGTAAAAAGAAGTGGAGATGGGTTACTTTCTTCGGAGCCGGAACATATGGCTTGGAACCGGAGTAATAGCCTCGGCATGGAACCACCGCCACGGCGGTGGCGAGAACCAGAATCAAGGCCAATATCAAACTTTTCTCCATTGGTAATGGGATTTAGCTACTGTGATTAATGCTTATATGCATAATATCAATCCGAAGGTGGTGGAATTTATACAAAATCATATACCAAGCACAATCGTGCTGCATACTGGTAGGTGATTTTCAATATTAAAAATGAAGTCAACTGTGTTTTGATTGAAGTTTTGAGACAAATTGTGCATTGTTTTAAGCAAAGATCGGTTGGTGATTGAAATTGAAAACACTTTTTGTTTAATTTCAAGGACAACTTTTGAGATTCCCAGTTGTCATCTGTTTTGGTGTGAATATTGTTAGGGAAAGAGTGGTCTTTCCCCAATTTTATTTATATCGTATTGTTACAGACATTTTAGTCGAATTAACCGATTATACATTCCTAATAAACAGCGTAGCGTGCTCTTGTTTATGTTCTTTTGTAAAGCTGTTTTGCTTACAAGTGGTGTTAAGAATTTTGCTTAAAAATATAAAACATAAATGATTATTTTGGTAATTTACCCTTTATTTATTTATTACCCAAAGTATATACAATAGTATAGAAGTAGCATCAGCTAAGTAATGAATCACCGTTATATTATACTCAACAATGGCATTGCCGTTTGTCTAATTAAAGAAGTTTTAAGTTCTGCAAACCCTTGTGCCATCCTGAACTTCCCTCTTCCTCCGACCACCGCAACCTCGCGCGCCGTTTCGGAGATTGGATTCCTCGAGAACATTCCGATGGAACTACCATTCAATTCTCCTTGCGTAAACCCAAAGTCCATGTAGACCGTTAGCGTTAAAACGTCTTGGCCGGTCGACGCCCACAGACCTTGAGCGTTTCCAATAACCCCCGACGTTATTTCGGGGCTGACAGTGATCGGATCATTGACCACCGCCACGATGCCGAACGGAACCACCGTGTCGCTGAAGGTGGTCGTCATGTTAGGACGTGCTACGAAGACTGCACTAGGGTTATGGCCAGTGACTGTGTCGTGTACAAAGAAGTGGAGATGGGTTACTTTCTTCGGAGCCGGATCATATGGCTCGGCATCGAAGTAATAGCCTCTGGCAAGGAGCCACTTCCCCGGCGGTCCCGAGAACCAGAATCAAGGCCAATATCAAACTCTTCTCCATTGGTAATGGGATTTAGCTACTGTAATTATTGTTTACATACATAATATCTATACGAAATTGGTGGAATTTATACAAAAATCAAACCAATCACAAACATGCTGATGATGGTAGATTTAGATGATTTTCAATATTTAAATGAAGTCATCTACGGTTTGATCGAAGCTTGGAGACTAACTGTGTTTTGGTTAAAGCAAAGATTTGGTGATTGATATTGAAAACAATTTTTGTTTATTCTCAAGACAGCTTTTGTGATTTTCAGTTTTTCTTATAAGACATTTCTGTTTAGAACTTTTTTAATCAATATACGTACATATATCTTACACGCAGATGCCTAAACTCAAAATTTATAAAGATGAGAATATTTCTTTTCATCTTTTTAGAGATATGAATATTAATAATATATATATATATATATATATATAATATTTTATAAATATAAAATATCTATTTTGACATTATGAAAGAATTAAAATAAATTATAAATTTACAAAAAAACCAATTCAATACGATTATTATTTAAACCAATAATATATTAATAAGTTAAAAAATCAAGATTGAACTAGCCCCACTTTATTTATTGGCCAAGCATAAACAAATAGTATATACAAAAACAGCGTCATCTTAGTAATGAATCACAGTTACATTATATTCAACAACAGCGTCACCGTTCGTAAACCCAAAGTTCATGTAGACCAAGCGTCTTGGCCGGTCGACGCCCATAGACCTTGAGCGTTCCCAATAACCCCCGATGCTATGTCGGGGCCGACAGTGAGCGGATCATCGGCCGAATGGCAACAGCGTGTTGCTGAAGGCTGTCGTCATGTTGGGACGTGCTACGAAGGCTGCACCAGGGCTATCACCTTTTACAGTGTCGTGTAAATGTGTTACTTTCTTAGGAGCTGGAACATATGGCTCGGCATCGGAGTAATAGCCTCGGCACGGAGCTAAGGCCATTGCCGAGCTGAGAACCAGAATCAAGGCCAATATCATACTTTTCCCCGTTGGTAATGGGGTTTAGCTACTATGGTTGATTGAAATTTAAAGACAAATTGTGTCCTGTTTAAAGCAAAGATCGGTTGGTGATTGATATTGACAAATTTATTTAATTTGAAGGATAAGATTCCCATAATTTACTTAGTTTCAATATTGATATGAATTTAAGAAATGCTTATTTAAACTGAAAAAAGTGTTAGATAAAGATTTAATTCGTTAATAGAATCATATGTCGATTATAAAAATAAAAGAAAATTACATTAAACATCATTAAATTTTAAGGTTTGTATTGATTTCATTATTGGACTTTAAAAATTTCAATTGTAATACTTTTTAATATAAACACTAGATCATTAAATCATTCATGATGTGATGACGTGATCATTTTCTTTTCCATGAATTTTAATTTGTGTATTATTTTGGTCGTCGTCGTTCGCCGACCAATCATTGTCCATTATTAGTTGTTATTCACAACAAAATCAATATGAAATTGTTCATATTTTACTCCTCTTTCTTCTCATCAAATTAGTTTTCAATAAAACTAACTCAAAATCAACAAAAAAAAAAACCATCTAAAACTTTGATGTTCTAATATTTCGATATCCTCCAACTATCACCCGACAAGATTAATTTCAAGGTATTTTGTGGTAAATCTAAATCAATGAAATGGTAGCGTATGATAAGACGAATTCATCAATATTAAGAGTGGGTGCAAAAGACGTCGGAGAGTAACATCTGTGACGAAAATTAAAAACAAGTGAAAACCCTAATTTTAACGAGGAAGATGATGAGATGAAATAAAAATAATAGTTTTTTAGCTCTCACATCAGCACGCATCAACACTATATCATCCGACTATTATTCGGTTAAAATTCGATATTATAATTAAAACAAAAACTAAAATTGAATTAATTGAAAATTCAATAATAAAATTGATATTAAAGTTAAAATTTAATGATATTTGATATATTCTAATTTAGAATTAAAAATGTCATATTAATATGAATATAGAGTTGAGATTGGTTACTTCTATATTGAAAATATTGTATAGGTTCTTCCTACCACTTAAGATTATGCATTACATTTCTTTTCATGTCACACTCATACATAAATAGTTTCTGTCATCAATTTCAAACAAAAAGGAAAAAATATTGATTGAGAGAAAGATTGAAGATGAAAGAGGAAAACAACGAATAAGAAATATTTGGTAATATTTGTCTTTTGTAATATTATCAAAATAGATGATTTGGACAATTTTATGTGAGTATGACATGAAAAAGAAATATAATGTATTTTAATTTAATTGGTTATGTTTATATCTCAAGTGGTAGACAGGATCTATATAATAATTTCCATTCTTTAACAAGTAATCTCAGTGGTGAAAAGTTCACTATGGTGGTCGAAATAGCATGCGAGAAGAGGAGAGATGCATGGTTATTTGTTATTTAGCTAGTTAAAGCAAACATCATTTTCCAGAAATATTGTTCAAATACTGCTATATAGGTATGGAAAACCTGTTCTAACACAATTCTGACATGCAAAAACAATTCAATTACACTACTTTTACTCTGTTTCTTAAAATCAAATGAGTTTCAAATAGTATATACCAATAAAAAGCTCCACATTTCAAGCAAAATGCATCAAGGTTTATGTTATGTGTGTGTGTGTGTGATCAAATAAAGCAATATTCTAAAATCAACCAAGAAATCAAATTTCAGTTAATTGAAGAAACCTTTGGGGTTGATCAGCATCAGCTGCAGATTCAACAGGTTCACTCTTCCTCCAGGTCTTGTCAGCCGGGGCATGGCCGTTACCGAAGCTCATCTTTGCTCCTCTCTCTTTCTCTGTAACAGCCACTGTCTCTTTAATCTTCACAGCTTCAAGTTTATCATCAATCTCCTTCCAATCTTTCCCCTTTTCCTTCAACACTTCCTTGGCCTTGCCTCGCCGAAAGGATTCGCCGCTTTGGGCTTGGTAACCGTCGAGTCCTTTTTACCCTCCTCGGTCACAGGCACCGTACGTGGCTGAAGCACGAGCTTCGGCCTTGCCCCACCAGAACCAGCAGCGGTGCTGCTGGTCTCCTCCTTTTTCTTTCCCCAGTTATCCAAATCCCTCGGCTGAAGTGAATCAAAACTGCTTCTTTTCTCAAAACCCCCACCAAATCTCCGAGGCGGCGCTGCCCATTGGGGCTTCTATTATTAGTCTTACTAGCTGCCCAGTTATCTACTTCATCGGCTTTCGATTGTGAATTAGAAAACCCTTCTCCGCCGCTGCCTCTCTCTCCCCTCTAAAATCCACCGCCAAACCCGTTTCAGATGGGCGTCGGTTTCATCAGCGCGCGAGGGAGTAATTTCTCTATTGGAATCTCTATTCGAACCTCTAGAAGATCCCCATCTACTATTACTCGACGAATCGTCTCCGTTGGAATTATTGTATCTGTTCGAACCGTAAGATTTAAAGCCGCCGTCGAGTTCTTCGGGGCACGTTGGCGAGGGCCGGTGGGGAGCGCGATGACCTCCTCGTGAGTGAGGCGTGTGAGCTCACTCAGCTTAGCTGATCCGTGGTTAAATTCAGCGAGGGATACGGTTTGGCCCTTCTTTTTCTTGGTCTTTGTGGTGGCGGCGGTGGCTAAAGAAGGAAAATCGGCGCCCTTTTCGATGGAAGAGTCGGCGCGTCTTTGCTGTTCGAGTTCAGCTTCGTTCTCTTCGGCATCGAGAGCCCACGCGCCGGGTTTGCCCCAAGGAGAAGAGCAGTTGCCGCCATGATTTTTCTTTTTTTGGAGGGAGGGAATGCTATGGCGCTGTTTTGAAGCTTGCGTTTTAGGTTTTGCGTTTGGCTACAAAAGGAAAAGGGAGAGGTATTATATCCGACGGTGGAGAATCATTAGATTAAATATATATTTTGGTACCTAACCTTATTTTCAAATTTTAATTTCGTACCTGAACCTTTTTATGTCCAATTATGAATATAAATTTCGATTATTTTTAAAAATCAACACCTGAACTCGGCTTCTGACTTCAATATACTCACATTTGTTTGTCTAGTTAGATGTTTAAATTTGATTTTTGTTTAAATTATAATTTAGATTATTTTATATTTCGATCCATTTAGAGTAGACTTAGTTGAATTTAAATATTTTAAATGTAACAAATATTTTTGACAAAAAACCGTAACTATCAGATTGAACAAAAAGACTTAAATTTAAATATTTAATTGAACAAAATTATAATAAGTAGTAAATTGAAATAAAAAATCAAATTTGAATATCTAATTTAACTATAAAATCTTTACGGCACCAAATTGAATCTTAAAACCTAACTTAAATAGATGAAATGTTGTATTTTTTTTTTAAAAAATGAAAATTATCGATTTTTTAACTATTAATATCTGGTCTATTAATTAATAAATTCAATAAAAATATTATAGAGGCGGCTTTCATAATTCAATGTATTAAATTCACAATATTTTAGTTTAAACCCATAATCTTACTGGTATTGAAATTGTGCATATTCAACCAACCATATAGTAAGCAAATCATCCAATCTATGGCTTCTTCGACAATAGTTTTAGTTCGAGCTATAGATAAACTTCGCAATGGAGGATGGAAGACGGAATTCAAATGGATTCCGCGAGAAAGCAACCGGTTCGTTGAAAATCTAGTTAGACTTTCTGAACCAATTCTCTTCTCAATAACAACTTTTACCAATTCCGTTCTCTATCTTTTATGATTCGAAAAAAAAAATTAGCGTTTCATCTTATTAGGTCATTAAATCAATCAATTCACCCTTTCGAATTCAATGGATTTCTGAAAATTCTGGTACGTTGAGATTGAATTAAATTCTGATTCTGATTAGGCAATTAGGATAGACAGTCTTTTTGAAAAGCAGCTGCTGCTTACTTCTAAAGCTGGACCCATAGCTTCATGGACAGAGATAAACAACAAGATTCATTTGGAATCAAACACCCTGGAGATTTCATTGCATGTTGCAAATAGGTAAAATAGTAGTTGATATTTTTAAGTAAAGTCGGTGTTATATCATTGCAAATTTTGTATAATTATTTATGGATTGCTATTTAATATGTAAGTTGTGTTAAATTTTTATAATTTATCTATTTTAAATATAAACTTTAAAATATTAAACGATTAAATATTTCAATAATAATTAAATACAATATAAAAATATTGCAAAAAGTATAAAATGATTTTTTTATTCAACCGTTTTTTATTACTTATATTTCATGATTTAAAATGATTCATTTTATATTTAATTTTATATTTTCGATCTAGCTGATTAGATCGTTAATTCTTGATTCAACCATTAAAATCCATTTTAGACAACAATGAATTTTTTTTGGGAGGAATTTTGTATGATTAATAATGGAAAACTCATATAAATTCGTACGTGTCACGTTAAAAAAACCTTCCCACGCCTAATTGAAAGAAAAAGAATGCAACGTATGAACGTCAAAAACGAGTACACACCAACTGTAGTATACGAAAAATACCAACGCAACACACCCTATTCCTTACATACACATTAAAATTCCACTTTACCTAAACCAAGATGTTTTGTCAAATAAACACCTAAATGGGTAGGCAACATCACCCAAAAGATCCCCTTTGAACGTTCATCTGGTGGCATAACAAAACTTTAAGTGCAAACAATAATCTGTCAAAATCCCAAGAGTATTCGCCTGCAGTTACAATCGAAAAGATTCCTAGCCATATGACAACCATCCAAACCATTATCAGCCTTGTGACTGAATCCCCTAACCATTTTCTGACATTTAAATAGAGACTGAGTTCTCTTGATTCTGTCTTGAGCCAACATATGAGTTGTTCAATTCCTAAAAGAGTTATAACGTTTAAGAGATTATAATTTTTTTGTTAATCTCCCGGTTATAGGATTTTGTCCTGACTAATTTGATCCGATCGACGTTGCATATTTGATTTGGTAGGTGAATTTCTCCGCGAATATTCTATGCAATTATAATTTTAAGTACTCTTAAATGCAATTATATTCTATTTAAGAGTTGTTAGGAAATAAAACGAGTACGGGTAATTTCCCTATAACCAGATTAGTGAGAATGCGAAATAAAAACGAAAAAATAATACCTGAAATTGATAACGGAGTTCAGCCAATTGTGCTTACGTCTCCGGACTGTTGCAGATCTTTTACTAAGAGAGAAAATTTACAGGTGTTTACAAAACACTCACTACTCACAAGAAAACTCTCTAGTATTGGGAGAAAGAAATGATTTTTGGGATTTTTGGGATAATTTTGAAGCTAAATGAGCTAGGGTATTTATAGTTGAAACTTAAGGACTTAATCTTGTAAATACCCTAAAGCCTAGGGATTAATTGTGATTATCCCATTATCATTTTTCAACAAACATCTACCAAACTTTGAAAAACTATTTTTCAAAGAAACATTTACCAAACTTTGAAAACCATTTTCAAAGAAACATTTACCAAACTTTGAAAACCAATTTTTCAAATTTGGTTGCCAAACTTGAAAACCATTTTTAACAATACTTTCAACAATCTCCCACTTGAAGACTGATTTTAATCTTTATTCACACCTCGATCAATGCAGCATCATTTCTGGTCTTGTTAGTCTAGCATGCCAACTGAAGCTTAACACAACTTCAGTTTGTCTGTGGTTACCATCTTTGTCAACATGTCTGCCGGATTTTGAGCTCCACTAATCTTTTCAAGTTTCAAAATCCCATCTTCCAGAAGAGACCGGATAAAATGATATCGCAATTGTATGTGCTTCGTTCTGGAATGAAAATACGGATTCTTTGCTAGATGGATAGCACTTTGACTGTCACAATGACTGTCACAATACAAGACATTGTTTTCTTGTTTCTTGCCTAACTCTTCCAAGAAACTTTGGAGCCAAACCATCTCCTTGCTGGCTTCTGTAACAACGATATATTCTGCTTCAGTTGTGGAGAGAGCAACTATCTTCTGTAGTTGAGAAACCCAACTCACTGCGGTTCTTCCTAGAGTATAGACATACCCTGTAGTGCTCTTTTTGATGTCAACATTTCTGGCTAAGTCAGCATCTACATAACCTGTCAGTATAGTATCTCCACCTTTGAAACAAAGTGCTTTGTTTGTGGTACCTTGCAGATATCTGAGGATCCATTTGACTGCTTCCCAATGTACATTGCCCGGATTATTCATGTACCTGCTAACAGCTCCCACTGCATGAGCAATATCTGGTCTGGTACAAACCATGGCATACATCAGACTTCCAATTGCTGAGGCATACGGCACCTTCATCATGTGTGCACGTTCTTCCTCTGTCTTTGGTGACTGTTCTTTGGAGAGTCTGAAATGAACACCTAAAGGTGTACTTATTGTTTAGCATCTTGCATGTTGAACCTGGAGAGTACTTTGTTGATGTACTCAGCCTGTGATAACATCAAAGTCCCCGACTTTGTGTCTCTCTTGATCCTCATCCCAAGAATCTGCTTTGCAGCGCCCAGATCTTTCATTGCAAACTGCTTCGATAATTTTTGCTTCAAGTTTATAATCTCTTGCATGTCTGAGCCTGCAACGAGCATGTCATCAATGTACAATAATAAAATAATGAAGCTATTGTCGAACCTCTTGATATAACAACAATGATCTACTTGGCATCTGGTAAAACCACTGCTACTCATGAAGCTATCGAACTTCTTGTACCACTGTCTAGGAGCTTGTTTTAAACCATACAAGCACTTCTTCAACCTGCATACCATGTTTTTCTTGCCTGCCTCTATAAAGCCTTCTGGCTGTCTCATATAAATTTCTTCCTCCAAATCACCATGAAGGAAAGTTGTCTTCACATCTAACTGCTCAAGATGTAAATTCTCTACAACTACAATTTTTAACACCAGTCTAATTGTAGATAGCTTCACGACTGGAGAGAAAATTTCATTGTAGTCAATACCTTCTTTTTGCTGAAAACCTTTGACAACCAATCTTGCTTTGTAGCGTTTGCTCCCATCATGCTCTTCTTTGATCCTGTAGATCCACTTGTTGTGGAGCGCTTTCTTGTCTGGTGGTAATTCAGCTAATTCTCACGTCTGATTTGACATAAGCGAGTCCATCTCATCTTTCATGGAAGACTTCCACTTGACTGAATCCTCCACTTGCATTGCTTCATCATAGCACTCTGGTTCACCATTATCAGTCAGCAACAAGTAGTGCAAAGAAGGAAAATACCGTTGGGTTGGTTTAGGAATTCTGGAGGAGTGTCTTAGTTCCGGTGTGCCTGGTTCTTCTTGAACTGCTTCAGGACAGATCTGAACATCATTTCCAGAAATCTCCTCGAACTCAACAAATTATTTTGTTTCAGCTTCGATGTTTGAGCTACTTGATTCTATGGTTGATCTGTCTTTGTACATCACATTCTCATTGAAAATGACATCTCTACTTCTGATGATCTTCCGATTTTCGTAGTCCCAAAACCGGTAACCGAACTCATCACCACCATAACCAACAAAGACACATTTGTTGGACTTGGCATCAAGTTTACTTCTTTCAGCAGAGTTTATGTGTACATAAGAAATACAACCAAACACTTTCTTGCTCCAAACTTCTTCTGGTATTCTGCCATCCAAAGGAACCGAGGGTCCACGGTTGATCAAGTAAGCTGCAGTGTTGATAGCTTCAGCCCATAGAAATTTGGGCAATCCGATATGTATCCTCATGCTTCTGGCACGTTCATTCAGAGTTCTATTCATGCGCTCTGCTACGCCATTCTGTTACGGTGTCATGGGAACTGTTGTCTCCATCTTGATCCCATTATTTACGCAGAAATCTCTGAATCTACGATTTCTGTACTCTCCTCCATTGTCAGACCTCAACCGCTTGACTTTCAGACCAGTCTTATTTTCCACCATGGCCTTCCATTTTCTGAAGGTATCAAAGACTTCTGATTTCTTCTTCAGAAAATAAACCCACACCTTCCTTGTAGAATCATCGATGAAGGTGACATAATATAATGAGCCTGCAAGAGATGGAACTGGAGATGGTCCCCATACATCAGTATGAACCAACTCCAACTTTTCAGCCTTGGGTGTCTTACCAATCTTTGCAAAGCTGACTTTCTTTTGTTTGCCAAAGATGCAATCCTCGCATAGTCTGACATCTACATTCTTTAGATTCGACAATTTCCCCTTTGACAAAAGTGTCTTCATCCCTTTCTCGCTCATATGGCCAAGCCTTTGGTGCAATAGGTTTGATTTTCCATCAGCATCTGATACTGCAATGATATTCTCTAAATTTGAGGTTATATAGAGAGTACCAGTTTTCTTACCACGAGCAATGACGAGTGCTCCTTTAGTAATCTTCCATTCACAGCCTGAAAAGGTTGTGCTAAATCCTTCACTATCAAGCCTGTCCTATAGAAATCAAATTTCTTTTGAGGCCAGGAATATGTCTCACTCCTTTCAGCGTCCAGGTGGTCTGGTTTGACAACTTTAATCGGATGTCTCCTTTTCCGATGATCTTCAAGGTTTCATCATCGGCTAGATGAACCTTCCCAAAATCACCACTGACATAGTTCTCCATGATTTTTCGACATGGGGTGGAGTGAAAAGATGCCCCTGAATCCAAGATCCATGATTCAATCGGACTGTTAACGCTTAAAATCATGGAATCACCTGTATCCTCTGTCACGTTGGCAGATTCCTGTGCGCCGATATTTTTCTTCAGTGCTCGACAATCCTTTTTAAAGTGGCCCTTCTTGCCGCAGTTATAACAGGTAAAATCTTTCTTTCCCGTTCTTGAGTTTCCCGTTCTGGATTTGGATCTGCCACGATTTGAATTTCTTTCTGAAGTTCTCCCTCTGGACTCCGTGTGCAAGGCTGAGGAGGTTGATGCTTCACCCGATTCTCTCCGTCGAATTTCTTCGCTCAGTACCAGATCCCGAACATCATCAAATTTCAATTTACTATTTTCCGACGAGCTGTAAACTGCTGTAACAGTAGCATTCCAACTGTCTGGTAGAGATGATAAGAGAATTAAAGCTCGAACTTCATCATCGAATTCAATTTCCACTGAACTCAACTGGGTTGTGATTGTGTTGAGTTCATTTAGGTGTTGTGCCACCGATGCCCCTTTCGCTATCCGTAAATTGAATAATCGCCTCATCAAGTGCACTTTGTTTGAGGCTGATGGCTTCTCATACATACTGGAGAGAGCCGCCATAAGACCCGCCGTGGTCTTTTCCCTTGCTATGTTGAAAGCAACATTGCGGGATAACGTCATTCGGATAACTCTGAGGGGTTGTCTGTCGAGAAGAGCTCAGTCTTCATTCTTCATGCCCTCTGGTTGCTTTCCTGAGAGAGGTTGATATAGATTTTTCTGGTAAAAAAATCTTCGATCTGCATCTTCCAAAAGCCAAAGTCCGCACCATCAAACTTTTCAATTTTCACCTTCCCTTCGTCTGAAGCAATCGCTCCCACTCGAATCTGGTTTCATTTGGATCGTTTCTGACAATTCTTGCGAACCACCGTGTATTAGAACACCTCCATCGACAAGCTCGTATCGCCGACAAAATTTTTACTATTCACGAAATTCACTATTCATATGAATAGTAATGAATAGTAACCTCACAAAAAATTGACAAAATTCACAACCAAAAACTATGATACCAGTTGTTGGGAAATAAACCGAGTACGAGTAATTTCCCTATAACCAGATTAGTGAGAATGCGAAATAAAAGCAGAAAAATAATACCCGAAATTGATAACGGAGTTCAGCCAATTGTGATTACGTCTCCGGACTGCTGCAGATCTTTTACTAAGAGATAAAATTTACAGGTGTTTACAAAACACTCACTACTCACAAGAAAACACTCTAGTATTGGGAGAAAGAAATGATTTTTGGGATTTTGGGGATAATTTTGAAGCTAAATGAGCTAGGGTATTTATAGTTGAAACTTAAGAACTTAATCTTGTAAATACCCTAAAGCCTAGGGATTAATTGTGATTATCTCATTGTCATTTTTCAACAAATATATACCAAACTTTGAAAAACTATTTTTCAAAGAAACATTTACCAAATTTTAAAAACCATTTTCAAAGAAATATTTACCAAACTTTGAAAACCAATTTTTCAAAGTTGGTTGCCAAACTTGAAAACTATTTTTAACAATACTTTCAACAAGAGTAACTAGCACAATTGATCCGGAGGATTAAGTCATCATTTATTTAAGGTAGTTCATACAAATATAGGATAAAATATAGAGTAAATCGACCATTTATTTATGATAGTCCATAATAAAAGCTGAGTTCTTAAAGAAACAGCAAACCCTAAACCCAGTGACCATGAAAACAAGACAGAGAAATGAAATTTTCAGACATGCATGAAACACAGACATTCCCCCTTTTGTTTTTGTCGGCGGTGGTGGTTTTAATAAAGCTGTCCGCAGTCAGCAATAAGAACCGGCTTCAAAGTCTTTCCATTTCTAGTCCCGACCTTCTCGACGGCTCTAACCACGTCCATGCCTTCAACGACTTGTCCGAACACCACGTGTTTCCCGTCGAGCCACGGTGTCTTAGTGGTGCAGATGAAGAACTGGGATCCATTAGTCCCGGGTCCGGCGTTTGCCATGGATAGGACGCCGGGTCCGGTGTGTTTCTTGATGAAGTTCTCGTCGGCGAACTTGGCTCCGTATATGGATTCACCTCCTGTGCCGTTCCCGGCGGTGAAATCACCTCCTTGGCACATGAAGTTAGGGATCACACGGTGGAACTTTGAGCCTTTATAGTGGAGTGGTTTGCCGGTACGGCCGACGCCTCTTTCGCCGGTGCAGAGGGCTCGAAAGTTCTCAGCGGTGCGAGGAGTGACATCGGAGAAAAGCTCCATCACGATCCGACCGGCGTGTTGGCCTCCGATCGTCACGTCAAAGAAAACCTTAGGGTTTGAAGGCATTATGAAGAAGGAAGAAAACGATTTCTTTCGGTAGAATGAAATTTTAAGCTTGAGAAAGTTGTTATATAGAAAGAGAGAGCTTTCCATAACGGTGAGAAACACATAATTAGAACCAAAATTACCATTTTAAAGTGAATTAATTTCATTAACTCGATTCAATTAATATTATTCGATTAATTTAATGAATTAACTCCATATATATTATTTTTATGTTAAATACTTTTATTATCTAATATAATATAATAGAATTCAAAACCTATTAAAATTCCAAACCAAAATTATTACATTTTCTATACTCAAATCAATCTCACATATATCGACTAAATATATGATATATTGATAACTGATATTAAATTTTATATCTAACATCATATATATATATATATTTCAGCTTGTAAATATACTGACAATGATCTTTAATCTATATGGTGAACATATCATATCGGAAGATATAAAATCAACTTTCATGAACGATCAATATTCTTTTTATTTAAAAATTAAAAAATCTAAATATTATTATGAAAAGTTAACAAAATAAATTAAAAACTTAAATTTTATACGGAAATTCTATCTTTTTCTACTTTCTCAGAGATTCTATATGAAAAGCAAAATATATGGGTGACGTGTAAATAAGAAAATGTCACGAGTGACGTTTTCCTTGATATTCTACTTAAAATATAGTTGTTTTTAAACATTCTACTTGTAAATAAGGAATAAACTTTAGTAGATTGAATAATAGATTTTTCAGTCATGATATTTTAGTTTTTTAAAAAATCACTGCGGTTACGCAATGTATTCCCATCTTATTATACTGAGGTTGGATCATCTTTTCTCGATTGGACATATATGATCATACCATATACATAAGTTACTCAATTCCTAGCATAATTAACAAGTGATTTGTTACTAATTAAGTAAGATAATGTTGAATAATCAAACATAATCGTAAAATAAGAACATAAAACTTTACATGAAAAACTCGAAACACAAAATTTATGATAATTAAAAGTATGTTACAAGAAAATTTGCAAAAATTACACTATATGTTTATTAATCTCTACAAAATGCTCTTTTCTCTCACACAATCGCTAAAAAACCTATATATATTTACAAGTGTAGAGACATGAAAGACCCCAGAAAATAAACATGTACAGTGTCGTACAAGTTTCATCCCCACTTTGGGTAAGGTCGGTCCAAGAGTTTAAGCATATAAATTTTTCTTCATCATAACAAATTTTTGAAATTGAATCCAATAAAATTTAAGCCGCAAACTCAAAACTACTTTATAGAGATAGGAATAAGGTCCTTATAAAAGAGAGCCCATGAGTTCAAATGAACGACTTACACTTTACTTTTCCTCTTTTCTTTCTTATCCATGCCCACTCTTTTTATTACGGCTAAATCTTTTCCCCACGTAATGTTGTATTTTTTTTATCTAAAAAATTGTGTTGATTTTATCATTAAATTTTGAAACGCTTTAATTTTAGACATTGAAATTTAGTTTTCATATTAATTTAGTCATTCTAAACCAACCGATTTCTCTTTCATCGATTCTTATTCGCAACAAGATCGGCATTAATTTAGTCATTTCTATGAAATTTACTCAAAATCAACGAAATTTCATCTAAAATATGGACATTCTAATATTATGATGTTAATATTACAATGACTGACGATGATTGATCAAAGACAACAATAGTTTAACCGATAGTGACTAAATTGACACGCAAAATAAAATTTAATGACAAAATTAATAAACACTTAAATTCTGCAAAGAAAATATTATCACATTGTTAAAAATTTAACCCGTCTAATACTACCCTAAATATTAAACTAAAAATTAATATTAAATTTAAAATAATCAAAAGTTTAACAATAAAATCAATAAACAATCTAAAGTTTATCCATAATTATCATAATTTACCCTTTAAATTATTCATAAATCTTTCGAATCTGAATTAATTAAATTAAAAAAATTAATACTACATACAGAAAAATAATCAAACTCATAATCTTTATATTAATATAACAATAATGTAGTTATATCTATTAAAGTGACGATAGCAATCAAATTAAAACTTATTTAAATAAATACTCAAATATGATGGTAAATAGAGTGTACATTATTTATTTTATTTATGGCAACTCATCAGAAAACGAGTTCTTCAAGAACCACCAAAACCCTAATCCAGAACAAACAAAAGACAAGTACATGGAAATGAAACACAATCCAAACACCAAACTCAAAGACACGAACAATGTATCCACTAAGAAATCTGTCCACAGTCAGCAATAACAACAGGCTTCGAAATCCTTCCGCTGCTAGAACCTACCTTCTCGATGGCTCTAACCACGTCCATGCCTTCAACAACCTGTCCAAACACCACGTGCTTTCCGTCGAGCCACTCGGTCTTAGCCGTGCAGATGAAAAACTGGGATCCGTTCGTGTCGGGACCGGCGTTCGCCATGGACAGAACGCCTGGTCCGGTGTGTTTCTTGATGAAGTTCTCGTCAGCGAACTTAGCTCCGTATATGGATTCACCGCCGGTTCCGTTCCCGGCGGTGAAGTCGCCTCCCTGACACATGACTTCGGGGATCACGCGGTGGAACTTGGAGCCTTTGTAGTGGAGTGGCTTGCCGCCACGGCCGATACCCTTCTCGCCAGTGCAGAGGGCACGGAAGTTCTCGGCGGTTCGAGGAGTGACATCGGCGAAAAGCTCCATGACAATCCGACCCGCGGGTTGGCCGCCGATCGTCATGTCGAAGTACACCTTGGGATTTGGAGCCATGCTTGGAAAAAAAATGAAGACTGGTTGATTCTAAGAATTTGTTTTTGATTTGGAGGTTTTTGTATGGTATTTAATTTAGCTTAGGGAAAGTGGTTTATATAGGAAGAAAAAGGACCGAGAATTTACCTTGTTGGACAGGACGAATTCATTTTGATTAGGATAGAATAGATTCCGTTCACATAGAATTATTTTATATTATAATAAATGGTTAAAATATGCTTTAACTCCCATTACTCTTTGCATTTTCTGAATTGTTTTTTGGATAATTCAAAATTTTATTACACAAAAGCACAGTCAAACTACAACCAATCAACAAAATAGACAAAAGCCTAATTACAAACCAAAGATTGGTTAAACAATACCCCAAGCATTAAAAAGGCTAAAGTTAGTAATATCAAGTATGTTAATAGCTTTGTCCCTAAGTCGGATACCAACAATATCGATGATGTCTTTGAGAATATCATCAACAGCTCGAAACTGACCCCGGAATATTCTCTGATTCCGTTCCTGCCACAAGTAATAGATGAACGCATTCCACGAGATTTTCAGAATGGTGGTGAGTAACGACTTCCCTTTCCAAGTTAAGCTAGCACAATTGACCATATCATCCCATGTCAAAAAATTCGGTTGCATCCCGTTCAAGTTTAAAATGGATTTCCAAAGACGCACAGCCATGGAACAATCGAAAAAGAGATGGTATCTAGTTTCTTGATATAAATTGCAATTAACACAGAAACCATCTGTGGGAACTCCCATTCTTTGTAACCGATCTTTGGTTGGTAACCTGTTCAAAATGGACATCCAAGTGATTAGGCTATGTTTAGGAATATGCATAGGATACTAAATGAGTCGATGCCATGGGACTTTCTGTCCTTGCAACTGTATTCTGTCCCAAATTTCCTTAGTCCGCAGTGAACCAGTGGAAATAAGAGGAGAAGCAGTGTGCCGTAGCTTTAAAATCCTTCTAAAACCCACCAGCTGACATTAGGTCCAGGTTCGTAATGCCAGAAATCCTTATCTTTAAGGATATAATTATGAAGCCATGCAACCCACAAGGAGCCATCACCAGCAAGAATTTTCTTAATAAGGCTAATAATACAAGCTTTGTTCCAAATGTAGATATTAATCAAACCAAGGCCTCCTTCTGACTTCATACGGCAAATATTATCCCAACTTACCCGAGCCCCCACAGCAGACTTGTCTTCGCCTTTCTAAAAATACCGTGAGCAAAGCTGATCCACGGTTTTTAAGATCGAGGCTGGGAAGGCAAGCTGCCGACACCAGAAATTACTAACATTGAATAAAACAGACCGAATAAGCTCAAGTCTGCCCATGTAACTGAGATTACGGGTAGACCGGTGGTGTAATCGATTCCTAATTTTGTCAAGAAGAGGCTCACAGTCCTTCGCAGTGAGTTTACGGGTTACAAGAGGAATGCAAAATACTTAACAGGAAGAGACCCCAGTTTGAAGCCAAAATTAAGATTAATAATCTCTAGTTCCCTAAAGGAGATTCCCGCAGCGAAAAGCTCACATTTGGAGGAATTAAGATGAAGCCCTGAAAGGTGATAGAACTTTTTAGAACACTAAGAATACCATCCACAGATTCTTTGTTACCTTTGCTGAAAATAAGCAGATCGCCTGCAAAAGAAAGGTAATAAGCCCGATCTTCTTGCATTTGGGGTGGTAAGCAAAGACACCTTTAGATGCAACCAAATTAAGCATTTTAGAAAGAATAATCATTGTAAGGACAAATAAGTAAGGGGAAAGGGGATCCCCTTGCCTTAAACCTCTAGCCCCTTTGAAGTAGTCGATTAAGGTACCATTGAAGGAGATAGAGTACCGAGCTTGAGAAAAACAAACTTCAATCCAAGTAATAAATCTTTGAGGAAAATACAGGGCTGTAAGGATTGAAGAGATGAAGTTCCAGTGCAAGGAATCAAAAGCCTTATGGAGATCGATCTTTATGGCGCAACGAGGTGAAATGTTTTTCTTGGTCATACCCTTTAACCATCTCCTGAGCAAGAAGATAATTTTCAGTGATATTCCTGCCACGAATAAAAGCAGTTTGGTTCAAGGAAATTATCTGAGGAATGAAAGCAGTCATCCTATTGACAAGGATCTTAGTGATAATTTTATAGATGACGAACAACAGGAAATCAGCCGAAAATCTTTGATCGTATAGGGGTTTGGGACTTTGGGGACGAGAGCTATAATAGTGGAGTTAAAAGCAGGGTGGATGTAAGAATTACAGAAGAAGTAATTGACAGCATTAGTAACATCTTCACCCACTATGGACCATGAGAATTTGAAGAAGAATGGAGTAAAACCATCTGGTCCAGGAGCCTTTTCATTGCCTTGGCCAAATATGGCATTTTTTATTTCTTCAACAGTAACTTCCTTAACAAGCAGAGAAACAGCTTCAATAGGCAATGAATAGTTAAGGAGATCTTGAAGAAAAGAAGGATTAGAGTCCTTGACCATAGGATCAGCCGTACCTAGGAGATTGAAGAAAAAAAAGAAACTTTATTGGACATGGCTTCAAAAGATTCAAGTCTATTTCCTCTGCTATCGACAAGAACTCTGATGGTTTCCCTTTTGTTCTTCGAGGCCACAATTGAATGGAAAATTTTGGTGTTTTTATCACCATGTTTATCCATTTAGTTTTAGCCTTTTGTTTAAAGAGAAGAGATTCGGCTTCCTCAAGGGTGTTCAGCTGCTCTTGGATTTCAAGTTCCTTCTCAATGGGTTCCTCACCTTTAAGAGTAAGGAGTTGTTGTTTTCCAGCTCCATTCTCTTACCTTTAACTCTATCAGGAAGGTTTTTATAATAGTCTTTATTAAACCTTCTGAGATTATCTTTGAGTCTTCTAAGCTTTGTGAACAAAATAATCATAGGGTTTCTTGAACTTCTTGTTGCCATGAATTCCTTACTATATTCAAGAAGTTAGGGTTAACAACCCAGAAATTAAAGAATTTGAAAGGCTTAGGCTTGGTAGTAGGAAGATCTTTAGAAATCCAAAGCATAGCCATGCAGTGGTCAGAGATTCCAGGGGCAAGGAATTCCACAAAAGATTGTTGAAAGATAGGAGCCCAACTTGGATTAATCATTACCCTATCAAGCTTCTTAGCCAGAAATAACTCTTGTTGTTTATTACTCCAAGTGAATTTAGGTCCAAAGAAAGGGTGATCCTGAAGGCCGAGATCATGAGTGAATTCTTGGAAATCTTTCATGTCCGGAGAGGAATAATGGCCTATCAGATCATGGTCAGAACTTTCATGGGAATGGAGGAAAATATTGAAATCTCCACCTAAGACCCACGAGGATTGATTAACAGTGGAATTGACTTCCTTAAGTTTAAGCCAAAGCTTGTCTTCGAATTGCTCCATCATTACTTCTATAGACGGCCGAAATGAACAACCGGGTTACCTTGAAAAATTCCTTGAGCAGTAATACACTGGTCAGAAACTTGAATAATGGATAAATCAATTCCCTTCTTCCAAAGCATCCAGATTCTGCCATTAATGGCCTGATCATAGTTATAACAAACATTCCAATTTGGGAAATTGGAGTTAAAGAGAGCCTGAGACTTTTCAACTTTAACCCTAGTCTCTAAAAGGCAGAGGATATCAACATTATTATTAATGGCTCTAAGAACCACTTTATTTTGTTTTAGAAGACTGTTAAGTCCTCTAATGTTCCAAAAACTGATTATCATTTAGAAGTTGATCCCAAGGAACACCCTTGGATTTCAACAGGATGACTTTTAGCTTTGTCAAGCCAGTCCTTCTTTTTGGATTTAAACTCCTTAACCAAGCCAGCAACTCCCAAAGATGTTGCCCTTGGCTTCCTTGGTAAATTTTCAAGATTTTGATCTTCAACAGTGTATAGAATTTCAAATCGGTTTTTTGAACCTGAAAGACAACTCTTAGCATTGTCTTTACTAGGTATTCCTCTTCCCCTTTTTGGTTTATCTACTGAGAAGAGATGTCAGAAGCAGAATCTTCAGTAGGCTTACTAGTAGAATTATGATCTTCAGTAACAATTGAGATAACGTTTAGACATGCATGAACCACTTCCATAACAGGTTGAGAACTTTTCAAGTCTGTGTCAGTAGGAGCATTCTGTTTAAGCTTATCAGGAGGTTCAGCAACTAACTTATCCTGCTGGGTGGAACCATTTACTTCAGTACCATTATTTCATGGTTTCTGCAATAATTCAACTCTTCCTACAGTAGTAATAGCAGAATTAGGGATGATGTCTCCCTTCTTCTTCTAGACTTGGGAAAAAACAGGTTGGGTATTGGTTTTGTTAGGACAACCTTTTTCACTATGCCCAAATACTTTGCACTACTTGCACGAAGGCAGTAACCACGAACCTCAACATAGATAGTGGTTTGTTTTCCATCTTTAAGAGCAACTTCAATAAACTTAGGAATAGGTCGTTTACCCCAATTTCAATACAGACTTTAGCGAACTCTAGCCTAGATTTTGAAGCAATTATGTTGTCCATTGATAGAGGAATGCCAATGGCACTAGCTATGTAGCTAAGGCCAACTCGAGAAAAGAGTTCTAATGGGACGTTAAACAGATGAACCCAAACAGAATCTTAGTTAAGTCAAAACTAAGTGTTTTCAAGCATGGTTCCCACTTTCTAATAATAAGAGATTTGTTCTGTTTGTGCCATGGCCCATTGTCAAGTACCCAATCCCTAGAATTTTCACTATCAAACGTGAAAATAAAAAGATTGTTTCCAGCAGTACTAACCTTGACTCGCGAACCCCCGATTGCTTTGCTCCATAAGCTGTCGACGATTCGTTGCAGGGACGCAAAGCTTGGTTTGACTCCAAGGAATTGACCCACCAGCGATAGTCTCCATTCGAAAATTCCAGCGTCGAGGATCTCTTGAGGTGGAAGAACGATCGTGGCTCCATCGCGAACATTTGGGGGAAAATATTCTAGGTCATGCGAGTTGGAGCATTTGAATAATTTCCTCCATCCATTTTGAGAGGAAATGGAAAACCCAAACAGCAGTGAAAGAAATGAGAAAGAAACGGGAATCAAACGCCGATCAACA